AGTAAATCACTGTCTCAACATTAAAGATTCATAAACATAAAATGTTCAATTTATTGTCAACAAATTGTATTTTAAGGTTAATATTTTAGCTTCGGTCGGCGAATAATTTTTGTGATATTCGAACAGCTGGTGTAGAGAGAGAGAGAGAGAGAGAGAGAGAGAGAGAGAGAGAGAGAGAGAGAGAGAGAGAGAGAGAGAGAGAGAGAGAGAGAGAGAATAAAAAAATTTGACGAATCAAGTTAAATTATTGAAATTAAGCACATTTATAAAGAAGTGGTTGGCGCAATTTTCATTTCTGTGCAGTAAGTTAAAAGGAATGAAAACAAAATTCAAATAAAGCACACAAATTCCAACGATAATGACCGTTCAAGCATTCGACATTTCTAACACAGCGATTTAATTGCATTAGATGTCTGGCTGTGTAATGTTCATCGATTTGATGTTTAATACGTTTGATAATATCAGCTTGGCCTTTGCTATTAAATATCAAAACGTTTGATTTTTTTAAACGTCGATTGAGTCATCACGCACACACACACACACACAATCTAGTCAATCTCATATGTAGTAGCAGAGCAGCGTGGCTTTCGCAGAAAACAAAAACGTCAAATAATTCCCGTCTTGGAAATATTATTCAATTTTTTTTCTCTCGTATGATGCCGTTTCCACACATTCAGGCCGCACAAACCCGTTTTACATGCATAAAACATCTTTCAGCTGCGTTTGAGTATTCATGGACTTGAAAACAACAATCTTTGGTTGCCGTCGAACACCCATCGGTTATTTCTTTAGAGTCGGTTCGAGTCGAGTCGAGTCGATTCAAGACAACAGAAACAAGTATTTAAGAAGAAGAGAATGAAGAAAAAAAACACCGACGATTTGACCCGTTTCCATTTGGTTTCGATAAATCATTCAATTACATTACTTCAAAAAAACAGTTGGAAGCCTACCCTGTGTATAGAGTGCACATGCAACAGAATTCGTTGTGTCCACTTACATCATTTATATGGCGTTCTCTTGAGTTACTCAGTTGAGTAACCACAATGAGATTAATATGTTTTATTATGTCACAAATTACATTAGTCAAATTATGGCATGGTCGCATCGACGTCGCCGTTGAAAGGCTGAATCATGGAAACAAACTTGAACTTGTTCTATTTTAAATATAACTCTCTGCTGAGCTGGGAATTCATTTACTTCTAAAGTGTTGGCGGGAGAGTTTTTTTTGTTTGCAAAATGTCAGATAAATATCCAATCGTCTTACATCTTGTCAAAATATTTATCTATTATTTGTTTAAAAGTAAATTATCTTCTAAATGTCTTGAAAAACTGATGACCACGCGCACGAGTTACAAACAATGATAATAATTGCAGGAAATTATTGAAATCATACTTTGAAAGCAACCCAATTCATTGAGCAAAGTCATAGAAATGTGTGAATGCATATGATGGTTTACCTTGGCTTTATGATAGCGATGCAGTAGCTGCGGCATGGCCGATACGTGTTTGACCACACAAACTAACATATTAGTTTCTGCCAGTTTGTTGCGTGCACACTTGTAGGTTTTCCACATATTTTCTTTCCATTTTATTCGTGAGCATGTAAGAAATTATGCTTGGTTCGTGCGGTGGCCGTTTATTATTTAATCACGTGCATGTCATGACTTTTGCATATTGAGAGGGAGAAAAACCAGCAGTACGATTGATTTGTGAAAATCATATGGGGTGAGATCATTCTTGTCGTGTCGAACTGGCTCGCATACAATGAATCGGCTCGTTGTTCATTTTTCCCGCGATCGGCCACCATTCCAACTATTGGCTTACAAAAACACACTTTCGTTCAATGTAGGTCAACCTCGCAAAATTCCATTTCATTCCATTGTGTGCATTATTTGCTGAATCAGTGTCAAAGTTAATGGAAGGACTTTTTCATCTTGTTGCTGTGCATTGGATTACAGAGCGAACATGGCTGTGTCGCCACTTCAGACTTGATGAATATTGAATTAGGTCAATAGCAAACAAAATACACACTCATTTTAATTACGGTTGTTTAGAAAGAAATTTCGCTCGAAATTAAATATCATTAAAACCTCGTTAAAATCAATTAAACTTTGGTATAAATTGGTGTCGTGTTCAATCATAATTTCCAATAATCCCATCATGATTCGATCGTACATTGTCGTTTGTTTACACAGTGAATAAACTGGGCGCAGTACACATGGGAAAGAAATCAAAAGTGATCTACTTTAAACTCACAATTGCTTTTCCCATCAAATACTTCTCGAAAATACTAAACTTTATGGATCCATAGATTATTCTGAATTTATGGCAATCAATAAAGCGTTCAATTTTATTGAACCATCGTTAAAAAAATATATGGCTTTCGGTCTGATAGCAGAGTCAAAAGCGGTGAAATGATTTCCATTTCGATTCTGATTGAGATAGACAAGTGATTGTTTAAGTACATTTATATTCCAACTAATGAATTGGCTGTCAATGTACGATTCGGTATTCACTGCATAAATAATGAGGAAACGCTTTTAATTATGGAAACTTAAATGAAGCATACATGATTACGACCTGATATATCCATTTAATAAATTAGCGACAATTTTTTTCTTTGATGTTGTTGTTGTTGTGTTTGAGTGTGCGTGTGCGAGTATGGCACGACATGCGAACAAATTGAAAAACAGTTGGTTGTTAATGTCTGCGTGGAAAATGAAAAAACCCCACGACAAAATGCATTTGCGTGAGATGATGAGTGTTGATGTACTGTTGTTGTCAGACATTGTTTCACACCAGAAAGAGAGAAAAACGGTGGCAATATCGAAAGTGATGAAATCGAAAGATATGTTATTCGTATGGAAATGACAAGCTTGTTTTGTTTCGTCCATTGTTCTGAATAGATTTTCACATCACAATAAAATTAAACGGCAAAAACGGACGCGCTTTTTTATGACCGTTTGTATGTGTGTGCGGGTGGTGTGAAAGTCAAGTGGAGAGATTTTTTTTCTTCGGCGTAGGACAAAAAAAGAAGAAACACGAAACTCACATTTAATTAATATTAACGACCGTGTGAAATGGAACTGTGTGCTTTTGTTGTTTACTCAGACCAAGCTACAGACAACATTTTCATGTGACTTTTATGAGCCCGCCATGGCAAAAAAGTGAGCATTTTCATTTCGTGGCAAATAAATGAAATTGACGAATGAAATCAAAGCCAAGTTGAATGTGATATGCGATACACATATGAACGTGGCTTCTTTTGGGCCGCGTGTATGCCAATTCAACGACTCCCGTATTGACATTTTGTATTTTCGTACATTTCTCTTTTGGTCTCTTTTCGAATTGAATTATATATTAAATATATATGTATTTGTGTTTTTTTTGTTGTTGCTGCTGAAAGGCTACCTTGAATCGGTTTGATTTTTTCAAGGACACATACATGATACAATCTGTTGTGTGTCTCTTTGAAACGTTTGTTTACCAGTTTGGCGTTTCAGTTGTGTTGGTTGACTTTGTTTGTCGCCTAGATGTGCACGTGCATGCGTGTGTGAGTGAGAGAGCGCTCGTTCACTTTTTCTTTTCACACACAGCTGTTTTACCGTCTTTCAGTTAGCCTACTAATTTTATATTAATAAACCATATGGAGGAGACTCAAACGGAAAATAAAGCATATGTCACTTAAGTGGATTTGCCATTTTTTCTTTCTTTTATCTAGTAATTGCATGGTGTGACATGCATGTGTGAGTGTGTACTGTGTACACATATCGTACACCTGGAGACGGTTTACCACACAATAATCTCCAAATACCAAATTTTATCTAATTAATGATTAAACATTTTCAATTAACAAATTAGAACGTTCTATCGTGTTGTTTTTAAATAAGTCTACCGCCGATTTATCTTATATGAGGATATTAGAATTAGATGTATTCTATTTTTGGGAATGTCATTCGAATGATATTCTGAACGGATCCAATATGTGCCGCCCAAAACGGATGTTCTGTGTGCATATACGCACAGTCAAAAGTCAACATCAACGTCAAACAAATTGCCAGGTCATAGACAAACAATAGCACCAAAATAGATACCACGCTATGTAAATAACGGACACACATTATAATAATAATAATAATATAGTTATGACAATACCTCTTGAAAAAGAACAACAATAAAAAACGCACATTTTTCTCCAACCTTTAGATTCTGAATATTTCGTGAGAATTGTTTCAGGTCGATTTTTCTTTGTCTGCCTCTTCTCGTTAATTGTGTCAAAGCGAAAATGTGATGCCAACGTAATATTTCTGACATTTAACGTGATCGCTTATGCCAACAAGTTTCAATGGCAATGCGGTATGCACAAACGTAATATATTCTGACACAGAGAGATATGAACGTGTATTCTATATGGCCATTACACATTATTTTTTTTCACAATAAAACATTCTTTCAGCAGAGTGAAGTAGAAGCAAATTCAATATATAGCGTTTAAAATGTATTTCAAATGTGAATTATAGCTGAATTGCATATTATTTATGAGCTGACGTAAGCATGCCCAGTGTATTGTAGGCTAAAACAACTTGTAGCACTCAAAAAGCATTTCGTCGAAGAAACTAAAATTTATGGAATTATTGACGTTCATGGACTCGTACAAATGAGACCATGAATTGGATTTCCCCCGCCAGTGCTCCAGTGTTTGAGTACGGGATTTAGAAGTCGTGGGATGTAGATTTGTTGAGAAACAAAAGTGTTTGCGATTACAATTTTACTGCGTGCACTTGTAAAATTAAATTACATTTAGATAGAGACTGACTATGGGGGGGGTGCAATCAAGATTGATTTCGTAGGTGTTTATTGCATCAATTAGTTGCTTCCTTTTGGCAAAGGTTATAAGGTTCCATGCTTCAATTATCTAACTAAATTTAGCTATCGAATGCAATGATTGGCCCAAATATAGATTAAAAAAAATATGAAGTTTATTTTTCGTTTCCACTTACCCATTGTAAACACGGCACGTCGAATTATTAATTCTCTTGTCTGAAGCGCGTCGTCGTCGATCTTCGAACAAGTCTTTGATAGCCGTAACGCCAAGCACAAATAATACCGGTATCAGTGAGATTTCCTTACCAAATGCGTCAATGAACCAATTTAAAACGACAATAAATATAAAATATAAGTTTGCAACCCGATGGAATTGTTCGAGTAAATTTTTTGGCAGAAACGATAGCAATGTATATTTGGTGGTACGGATTTTATTGCCCACATATCTGCCGTTTGGATGGTCCCGTTTCGGTGTTTTACTTGGCACTGTGTGATTTGGTACAACGATTCGATAGCCACGATCGTCAAATTTACTAGTTCGCCGGCCGAGAAAGTATCGCTTCCAAAACGGTGGTATTTCCGATTGACGCAGCGTGTATATTGATTCAGAGCGTGACGCTTGTCGTGAATGGCTCATCGAATGTGCTGATGTAGCGGCCAAATCACGATGCGGTGGCTCTTCTTTGTGTGTTGGCGGTAGAATGAAATCGGTTTTCGAACCGGCACGAGTGTGACCAGAACGTGGTGTTGGTGTAGGTGTTTCATCGGAAATTTGTCCATGTGACAAAGCTCGCTGATGACCTTTCATCGCTGATTTCAATGGTCGACCACCGGCCGAACCCACTGTCGTCGAGCTAGCCGATCCACCGCCATGACTGATTGACCGGGCATGGCCACGGTTCATCATCATCATATCGTTCATTCGACCGACGACTGCATTTGCAGAGCTCGATTGTGCCGCCAATAATTTGTACGAACCCGGTTGTAAGTGTTGCTGCTGTTGCTGCTGTTGTTGTTCATCTTGCGATTGTGCGGGAAGCGTCATCTTTTGACAGCTCACAAATTATTTCGTACGAAATTCATTAACACAAAAAAGTGTCGGCTAATGTATTGGTTGGAGAAGTTCTTTGCTTTTGAAAAGAATTCTCGACAACGTTCAAGTTGATCTATCATTCAACTCAATCAGATCATATGTGAAGTGTGTGAGTGTGTGAATCGTCATCGGCTGACCGACACAATACGTCCGAACGACTCACACGGGTTTTTTTTTTGCAATGGATTTACTCCGGGGAATCCAATATTAACAACAAAACAAATAGGCCGCTTCCAGTTACGCAATTCTTTCATTTTACGCCACGAACAATTTATTTATCAATTTTCATTTTTTTTTCTTTTTCTTATTCTTCCTTTTTTCTTGTAATATTATGAATCACTTCGTCATTTTAAACCTTAATCATTTTAAACTTTTTTTTATGTCTCCTTCTCATTTCATAATAATTCGTTTTTTATTTTACGATCACCAGCACTCTTATCTCTCGTTTCAATTCAACTGATTATGATTTCTGGACCATTAGTATGACTCGTCTTTGTTAAGCTTTTTTTTTGCTTTGATTACGTTGTCGGACAATTCACCAGAATATTTTTAGGTGCTTCCTTCACTAGTGTGATATTTTTATTTTTGATTAAATTTGGTCTCGTTTTTGATCGTCAAGGCGAAATCTGTAAATAAAAAATGGGATGAATTGAAATTGGATCGTTGGTCACAACATTTTATTGTATTTTATAAGCAAAAATTGGAATTTATCGACTAAAATCTAAACTGATTTTTAATGCGGTGTGATTTTTTTTCCGCTTGTGATCATATTCAATAGATTGGTATGCATGATTGATCAGGCGTGTCCATATCTCGTAACATCTTGTTGTGCCCCGTCATTTGTTATTAGAAGAAAACCGCGAAATGTTAATACACGCTGTCGATTCGAAAAAGGCAAAGTGATCGCAAACTAATGAAGTGTTTCATAGCATAATTCATCGTGGATTATATAATTATTCGTCGACAAAAAATGGGATTTTTCTTAAATTTCAAAATAGTGGCTGATTAAGCCTAGCATCAAGACAAAAGCTCTTCCTTTTGTGGTCATTTAACCCAAGAGAAACGGCCAATATGTTTATACGCTGTCTATCCGCCGAAAATGCACTACAATATATATTCACGCTTATTGAACGCCGAATTGAATATATATTCTAGTGTATATTCGGCGTATTCTTCGGCGTGAAACATATTGAAACATATTTAGGCGGCTATGAATGCATTCGTTGATTCAATATGTTTCACGCTGAAGAATACACCGAATATACACTAGAATATATATTCAATTCGGCGTTCAATAAGCGTGAATATATATTGTAGTGTATTTTCGGCGGATAGACAGCGTATAAACATATTGGCCGTTTCTCTTGGGAATAGAACAATTCTGGTTAAAATAATTGCAATCATAAAATAGATAAATGAATCTGGTCTTGGGTATTTAAAAACTATTGATTCGCATAAATCGGTGATTATTCAGTGTATTGTTGCAAATTCTGTGGAAAACTTCTTGATCGTACATCATGTCATTGTTGAAATGTACTTGTACATTCAGTTATTAGTATTGATCATTCCAAGCTTAAAATATGACTTGGCTCAGTACTACTCAATCCAAGCGATTTTAATCGTTTTCCATCATTTTGGTTTCTTCTTTCAAACTGACTCTCACAAAAATGTGTGGCTAACATTTTGCTAAACAGTGAATGTGGCACAGTTTGAATCCAATCACTTTGCCATCAAATCAATTTTCACATTATTTGTTGTTCGCTATTTACTGCACTTGTAAACCGCGAAATAGTTTTCATAATCAAAACAGCAAATCATTTCATTGCTTGATTTGTATGTGTGTTATAATCCACGCATGTGTGTGTAGTATAAGTATTGTACACATTGTAATTAAATATCATCCAGTCGGTATTCGGAGATGAATAAGTAGATGCCATTGCAAATTCATTTTATGTTTCAATTCTACGATGATTACGCAATACGTGATGCGTAACAACAATAAAACTTGTCCAACTCACAACCAGATGAGAATCGTCTAAAAAGTAATAGCAGCATTTCTTGTTTTGGTCACACACATCCAACGCGCGTTGCTGAGCCGGATTTATTCTTCATTTTCTTGTTCATTGATGCTAGGCTAGCATCTATGCGTTGAACCGTACATATGGCAAGAAAACTTGACAACGATGCATTTCAAATATCAGAAAATGTTTTGTAACATCAGCCAGTAATGTTATACTGAAACGTGCAACAAGCAAAAATAGACATAGAAATGGATCAAACAACATTTGCTTTCTCGCAAATGTTGGCAATGTTTGTTTTTTTCTCTTCTGTGAATTAAATTTAATTTGGCCAAGTTTTTTACGTTCTTTAGCAACATTTTTACAAGTGGGAGCACCGCATTGAATTTCGTAAAGCGATAGCCATTTTGTACATATAAAGTGGTGATTTGAACACCCCACCAACATGCAAATGAAATCTATTATAACTTCAAAATAGAAATAAAGTTATTCTCTTCGCGAAATCTAAAAATATGTTTGGATGAAGTTTTAAATAGAACCAAATGCACAACAAAGTGAAAACGGTGACAAAAAGAAATGGAAACTTTCTAAGAACGAAGAAAATACAAACAATTCATCGTATTTTCTGGTCAATTTCTTTTACACTAAGCTATTTATAAAAGGCCTTAATTCCGTAGAATATGTCAAAAGGTCATCAACAAACAAACACAAGAAAAATATTCACGTTTGACTTTGATTCAACGTTGACAAATGATGAATACAAATTATTTGAATTTAGCCCGTCACCTAGCCGACTTAGACGGTTCGGTGTGAGCGGCGATAGTAAATGCAAAAGTGTGGAGAACCGAAAGTGGGATGACACATTAAAATATATAAACGAATGTGAGGCATGTTTATTCAGTCTATCGTTTCTATCATAGCATTATTGTGTGTGGATTTAATTAACGAAAGGCTTGCTATGACGCAGCGTTGATTTCATTTTCGAAAGCTTCTGACGACCACCAGTCGAAATGAAAAAAACAAACAAAACGAATTGGAAATCTGAACAAATGTGCCAAATTTGTAGATTGGCGACACTTTGCTCGTTTTCTTTTTCAAATTTCTTTCTCTCTCCTTATTGCACGAGCGCGCTCTTGCACTCGCACACTTCCATTCGAACAATCATACGCGAATTATTATTTACGCGAACATATTTTTAATCAGCATATTTTGATTCAGAAATTGTGATCTGTAGAGTTGATGCCGATAACCACTGACTGCGGCAGCACACCGATTCATTTTATTATTCAATCGATGCGAAATGTATGCGATGTCAATGTACATTCCCAAGCAAAAATTCACACTGAATCGACGTTGCGTTTACACATATCTGACACTGTTTTCACACGGTTTTGAACGTCAAACCGTGTGGCTATAGTATAGTAGAGTGTGAAGTCGTTTGACACCATTTTTGATGTCCATTAACCGTGTGGATGCAGTTTATGTTTGTATTGGACAGTGTGGAAGTCCGCCACACTGTTTTACATTTAAAACCATGTCGCCGAAGTGTATGACCGTTGCGTTATCATGGCGAATTTTGAAACCATTTTTGGTGTCGACTCTTGATATCTGAACAAACTTACACTGCATCCACCCGGTTATTCGAAATCAAAAATGATGTCAAACGGCTTCACACTCTATTATACTATAGCCACACGGTTTGACGTTCAAAACCGTGTGGGAACATTGTCAGATATGCGTTAACGCAACGTCAATTCAGTGTGGATTTTTGCTTGGGATCGTCAATTGATGCGAATTCATGTGTAGCTGTTATCAAATAATCCACATCTCAGTCGGATAAACGTTGATTACTCGATGAAAAAGCGTTTGCTTGAGAAAGTAAGCAAAATAAAAACGTGCCTCTGCCACAAACCGTGGGTTCGGTGTATTTGAGCGAATTTTCATTGTCACTCAGTCGTGTCTAGCTCTCTAACTTAATTAAATTTTGTTTACGTGTACCGAAGCGCGACACCGAAATAATAAAATAAATAGATACTCGTGTGACGCGTGGTAGTGATGCTATTGTCGTGTATATTCAACCGTTTCACTTCGATCGTGCATACATTTGCGCAATAAATGGCAATATTATACTGACGGTCCCGTATCCACCGTATAAATAATGTATATAGTGTAAGTAGTAGAAATGAAGGAATGAGAGAACAGTTGAGCAGCGCATACATTAAAAATATATAGTATAAAAAGCGTACACGCATTTTAATCAACGGAAAGGGAAAGAAAAAAAAACACACACACAGAACTATCGCCGATTTATTAAAATTGTGTTGTGGTATGTCAAACATTTGGCCGATGTGCGCGAATTGTACACTCAAAATTGATGCGACGCTCGCCGTTTCTAATGTCTCTCTATCTTTGCCACGTTGAATGGAATCTTGGCTGGGTTTTTTTTTATCACTCCATGAACCAAAACTTTGTGAATTTTTGTTTGAAAACTCTTTTATTGTAGACAAGATGTGATGTCCCATAAAATGATGTCAGATTTTTAAGCCGGTTATTCAATACATATCCGTTTATTTGATCTTCTAATCATTTGGTTCCAACCATAAATTGTCCGCACAACGTAATTAATACAACTGTTGTTTTGGTTTGATTAAAATGTGCGGGAGTGAGAGATAAGAACAGCGCTCCAATGAAATGGCATGGCAGTTTGAACTGAATGGACTTGTACACATTTCCATTGATATACACGCGTTTGTTTACTTTCTGGAATAACAAAAGCATATCTTCTGTTGTTGTTTTTTTTTTTGTTGTTCTCTCTGATGATGCAAACGTCATGTTATTTTCCACATTTCTGTTCTCATAAAACAGCAGAGAAATAACTGAATTGTTTTCGTGGGCAAGTAATAATGAGGCAAACAGTAACAAGAAGCAAGGTGTTCGTCGTGTCGATTCAGTAACAAATGTCGAATGATATGAAAGCAGAATGAAACAAGAAATAAACTAATAATAAGCAGAAAAAATACACTCTTAAGATAAATCTTACAATTCGCGTAATAGAAATTCATATACATATGATGTATACGAGAAGAGATGAAGAAATGAAGAGAGAAAAAAATACGCACACAATATTTTCTAATGGCTCAATGCGCGCTCGCTTCGATACTTTTGTACGCAAGATCAAAGTCGTTTTAATGATTTCATTTGAGTTCATACTCGATTTGGAAACTTCACGAATAGCGTGTGTCTGGGTCGGTGTTGATTTGAATGTATGCTTAATAAATTGGAAATTAGAGTTATCAACACTTTCTTCGGGAGAAAAGAAAAAAAAAACTATATGAAACCAGAACAATGTACCTCACGCGAACCTACTTCAATTTTTAATTGTTTTGTCTGTTCGCGGCTGTTATTTTGTGTTTCTTTTGTTCGTGCTGATACACATACGTGCGTGTATCATTTATCAATGTCTTCATCAATATAAAAATAAGACAAATCTCAATTCGGTTCTCGTCAACACTTTTTTCTTCACATCAGACTAAAATCTCCAACATTTTCCCCATTATCACAATCATTTTTGACATTTTAGTATTGAATTCGAAACTCACATCTTTCTTAGCCTTATTTATTCAGCTCCTTTGATATTTATTTATAAATTTTTCGCATTTTTTTTTTCTTCGGACTCTTGTCACTTGTACACTTGTATATTTAAACTAGCACATGAAATTGGTATAAATATCCAATGAAATGGATCACCATTTAGGTGATTTCTTTTGTTATTTTTCTTGAACTATTTTCATTTGTTTGTCCACACTGATGACCGTTGCACAAATGCCGAATAGTAATAGCATCAAATTTGCTTCCATTACATCAATGACTACAAAAATTCTTCTGTCGATTGCGATGCGCTATTCTTATTTACTTTTCTAGTAGTTGCGTTAGTCGATATGTGCAATGAACAAAACGGAAAAAAAATTAAATGCAACTTTTAAACGGAATCCAATTGATGAGGAGAAATGAAAAACACGATAACAATAATATTTATTTGAAAACCAAAGGCATTAATACTCTCTGGATGCAAACACAACAGGCTCAATTAAATGGTTTTTGTATTCAATCGGAAAGACAATTGGATGAAGTGGTGGAGAGATGGCAACGTGCGAAATAAAGAAACGTTCAGCGCGATGCAACCTTTACGATTCAAGCTCACAAATACAACTGATTGCAATATTTTGTGTGTTTTTTTCTCTCTGCTACAGAATACCATTTCTCTCATTCTATCCCGTTTCGGCCGCTCACACAACGGCTGCACACATCGTACACATACATACACACACAATCACATATACGGCTCTCTGGTTTACAGTAAAGTTCAATCGCCAAACATGTCATATGAACATGGAAACCCGTCGCTATGTGTACACGTACTTCAGTTTGGGACACAGCGAATTCACTGTAACAAACAACTGTCAAAAATATTGCTATCACCACCATATATTCACTGTCCCAACACGCATAGGGAGTACCTCAAAACATTTTCAATTGGCTCTAAACTGCTTTCGATTGATTTTATTCGATGAGAAAAAAATTGCAATTCCGTTCTATTTTTTACAAAAAGCATCGTCGAAAATTCGTTCAATTTTTATAATGCTTAAAAACACGCTTAACGATGCAAAGAGCATGAAACGAATTCGCCCTCCCTTGCGTAGCGAAGCTGGCTTTATTGTCGATGTCATTGAATATACGCATCTGAAACGCGAATTATACGACAGCAACCGAGCCGAACCAGCCAACAAACCATTGCGATTGTTCCACTGAGAAAGTCAATTTTTTTTTCTTTCCAATCAATCTTGAAGACAGCTCTCACTCTTTTTTTCCTTCGTCATCCCGATACTCGATTTGGTGCGTGTAAACGTTGAACATTACGTTTGACTTGGCGAAAATCTTGTAATTATAAATACAAAAGACGCGAAAAAAGTAAAAAAAAAAAAAAAATATTGTCAATTAGTGTTTGGAATTTTTTTTTTTCATCGCACAATTCCAAATTCACCTCGTTCGATCCGAATTACTGTTCATTTTTTTTTGTAGTCGCAAGAGCATAGATAAAATTTTGTGTGTCGCTATCGATAATCCATAGTGTAAAGTAAAGCGAAAAGAAGAAGAAAAAAAAAATGGATGAGGAATACGATGCAATTGTATTGGGCACTGGCTTGAAAGAATGTATCCTGAGTGGTATGTTGTCGGTGTCTGGTAAAAAAGTGCTGCACATCGATCGCAATAAGTATTATGGGGGTGAAACTGCATCGATTACACCATTGGAAGATCTTTTTTCGCGTTTCAATCAAACCGAACAATTCAGCGAAAAGTATGGCCGTGGCCGTGATTGGAATGTCGATTTGATTCCAAAGTTTTTGATGGCGAATGGCTTATTAGTGAAATTGCTAATTCATACGGGCGTGACCCGTTATTTAGAATTTAAATCGATTGAAGGTAGCTATGTGTACAAAGGTGGAAAAATCTCTAAAGTTCCCGTCGACCAAAAAGAAGCATTGGCCAGCGACTTGATGGGTGAGTATTTTAGTTTGAGTTTTTTTTTTCTTTGTCATTTTTTTTCGGTATGTTTTACACGTAGAAAAATAGAGCAGACAATCGCAATTTAAATATGTACATATAAGAAGTGTGTGCCAATTGACATTGCAAAAATGAAATGAGAAAGTCGCTAGAGTAAGCTCAATATCGGAGGATAGAAAAGCAGTAAAACAAAAAAGAAGAAGAAGAAAGAAAAATTAACAGACGAATCAAAGAAATGAAAATAATTCGAGTGAAACACACTGACATCAATAATTACAATTTATTCACTTGTTTCGGTGGCAAAACACTTTATCGCTACGAATGGAATGCGACAGAAGAGGATGGCATGAGACTGTGTATCAATAAGATAGACAGAGATGACTCAGTGGAAAACGTTCTATGTATTAGTTTTGGTTATACGGGATGGTGTTTTATAGCGTACGTGACACCAACAGTCAGCACTGAATAGCGAATAACTCAAGCCTAGGTTGTCTGTGTGTATGTAAGCGCGCGCGCGTGTGTACGTGTGTGTTTATGTTGATTGAGGTGAAAAAAGTTGAACGGACCATTTTTTTTTTTCGCTTGTATTTTAAAATTTCCGATCGAATTTGCTGTGTGCGCGCTAATGTTTCGTGTTTATAACCAAAACTGATGCCTCAATTAACTATTCTGCCAATCAAATATATTACATTCCAAGCAAAATGTCATTTATGCATGAACAAATGGGATGATGACAACAAAATTGGTACTGATTTGATTTTTTTCTTTCTTTCTTTTTGTTGGACAGGTATGTTTGAGAAGCGTCGCTTCCGTAATTTCTTGATCTATGTTCAAGACTTCAAGGAAGATGATCCAAAGACGTGGAAAGATTTTGACCCACAAACTCAGAATGCTCAAGCCCTTTACGATAAATTCGGTTTGGACAAGAATACTCAAGATTTTACCGGACATGCACTGGCATTGTATCGTGACGATGGCTATTTGAATGATAAAGCCATTACTACCATTCAACGTATCAAGTTGTATTCGGATTCGTTGGCTAGATATGGTAAATCGCCATATTTGTATCCGATGTACGGTTTGGGTGAGTTACCACAAGGATTTGCACGTTTGTCGGCCATCTATGGTGGCACTTACATGCTGGACAAGCCAGTTGATGAAATTGTCGTCGGTGCTGATGGCAAAGTGGTCGGTGTTCGTTCCGGCGAGGAAATTGCCAAGTGCAAGCAAGTGTACTGTGATCCGAGCTACATTCCAGATAAAGTGAGTGCAATGGTGCATAAGACACAGAAAAAAATCATTTATTCTTACATATTCTTCTAGAAAAAGACAATATTTTACTAAAATCCTCTCATTTTTCGCTCAATGTTTCGCTGTTAAGGTACGTAAGACCGGTCAAGTGATTCGTTGCATTTGTCTTCTGGACCATCCAGTTACCAATACAAAGGATGCATTGTCAACGCAAATTATTATTCCGCAAAAGCAAGTTGGACGTCAGTCCGATATTTATGTATCATTGATCAGTTACACGCATCAGGTGGCTGCCAAGGGATGGTTCATCGGTATTGTATCGACTACAGTTGAAAGTGACAATCCGGAAGCGGAAATTTCGCCTGGCTTAGCCTTGTTGGCACCAATTGCCCATAAATTCATCGCTATTTCGGACTATGTCGTACCAACCGACAAGGGTCTCGATTCGCAAGTCTTCATCTCCGAATCGTACGATGCAACCACTCACTTCGAAACAAGTAGCTTGGATGTGTTGGACATCTTCAAACGTGGTACTGGCGAAGAGTTCGATTTCTCCAAGATTAAACACGAATTAGGTGATGAAGATCAATAAAATGTTACACACATATACATTTCAAATGAGAAAAAAAAAACTAATAATATACCAGTAAAGATGAACATTTTTCCAATTGATTTGAAAAAGCAAATAACTTAAAAAAAAAAAAGAGAAAGAAAAATGAAAATCACCCAAATCTAGAATTGAACAATAATATCTCATGTTCTAAACGCGTTTCGCTTCGGCAACGCAAAATTGTTCACAAATATTGAAAAAAAAGAAGAAAAAATTAAACAAATTAAGAATTTGGCAGACACATAATTATATTATAAACACATGTTTCCCAAACTCTCTTCTTTTTTTAAAAAAACCAGTGGAATATTTAGTTTAAAATAATTAAGAATTTCTGCAAGTTAAAGAAAAATTATGAAAAATGCATCATGTTTAAACAGAAAATAATTTGAATGGGCTTGATTTTCGTTGTTTTTCCTCCTTCTTCCACACTTTTTCTTTCTATCATATGTTTGATGTAATTTTTTGGAAAATGAAAATTTCATTTTCTTTCCCCTGATCATTTTCTTGTTTTTTTTTTTTTTTAATAACAAACCCCTTGAACTCTTCAACCAAGAGAGAGAGAGAGAGAGTTTTCATCAAGTTATATATGTTTTGTGATTGAAATTCCTAAGAATTTAGTAATTGTAATGGCTATTTACGAAATCCCCACTGAGAGAATATTTAATATGGCTCAAATTTAGGAACATTTTTGCACCGCAAACAATTTATATACATAATATCAAAATAACAACTTAAAAAAGAAGAAGAAGAAGAAAACAAGGAAACATAAACATCGATAGGACATCTCCCTATTTCAGTTTTGCTTTAGGAGTATCCGACTTTTTTTTCCCTCTTTTTTTCCATATCTCAACCATCAAGCAAGTGTTATGAGTTTTTCTTTAGAAAACATCTTATTACTATACTATCAATAAGACGAATATAGTTTGCGCTTAAATTGGCAATATTTTTTCTTTTAGTGGACAAAAAATGGAACACAATAAAAAATGCAGAATTTACTCTAATTGGGTTTTGTTTTATTTTTATTTTTATTTTTGTTTTTTTTTCTCCACCCATTTTGTTGAATTTAATCTATTTATTCTTGTTTATTTCTAAACGACACACCGTATGTTGCTATTTGCGCACCATTTAACAAAAACGTATCATTTTTATTTCACATACATACTCGTATAATCCTTCATTATGCACTATAGAGCAAACTTCTCATAAGAAAACATCATAAACGATCAAACAAAGAAGAAGAAGAAGAAAAAAAAACATTAGGCTTTTAATACCAAATTCATGGAAATGTGCATTTTAATGGCATTGCTTAGCATTTTTACAGAACATATGAAGAAAAATTGTGTGTGTTTTTTTGTTTGTTTTAAACGAAATAGAAATCATCTACATTGAGTGTTGTGCAAATGATTATATTAAACTATGAAACAGAACTGATAATAATCTCACCATAATTCAAACCAAACCATACAATGGCCGAATCATGACTTACTTCTTTTTTAATTTTTCAAGAAACAAGTTCAAATACGACAAATGATTATTTAAGGGAAAACAAATAAAACTAAAAATAATTTATAATGTAATGTGCTAGCTCCTGCTTGTTAGATTGGATGAATACATTCGATTTTGTGAATTGGATTTTTTTTTTGCAACCGACAAAAAGAAATAAAAACTTTAATGAAAACAAAAACGTGTTAGACGGAACATGCAATATCATTACTTTTTGCCTGCTTTCATTTTCTTCAATACTTCAATTGCCTTCAATCGGTTACTCTCCATGATTTGTTTGTCTTTTTCACGCTGCGGAATTGGTGCATTATTGTCGGGCAGAACCACTTTTTTCGCTCCAACGGAGATGCTAACGGCAGCTGATGTGCATGGTTCATCTGTATTGTTATCGGTGGTTTGTTCTTTATTCACTTCGGTTTCTTGTATTGCTTTCCGTTTGCGTCTCGGCTTGGGCTTTGCTTTGACAGTTGAATCATTTTCTGTAGCTTCTGGATTCTGTTCCTCTTTTTTGGCTGTGGCTTTCTTTCTTGGCTTTTTTTCCACCACAACATCATCATTGAATGTGGCCGGATCTGTATCCGGATCCATATGTTCTAAAGCCATACGCACACGCTTGCTCACCTTCAAGTCCTTTCTCGACGTTATACCAGTAATTTTGAAATAGTTCTGAATCGATTGCTGTGATGTTTTCTCACTCAGCCTTTTCATAACCGGCAACACAATTTCATCCGTTCGCTTTTTCGTCCAACCGAATGTTTTCTTTGCATATTCACGAATACTTTCCACCTCTGGTTGACCCCAACTGAATTTTTCACGGTTCTCATCGACAGTTGGAAACAAGTACGCCTCTACGACCTGGAATATTGTTATTGCTTTGTATTATTATCGATTCAATTGAATTTGGTAAGATTACGTGTCATTTTTGGAACTTACCCGAGCGTTGGGAAAATCGTCAGTGAACGTGATATTTTTTAATTTATTGCGCAAGGTATTTGCTCTCTGGCCCACAGTTTTATTGTGCCACCAATCGCGGAATTTGCGCAAGCTGGACAAAATCGACACGATTTGTGTGGTTTCTCCGTCTGTTGCGGGTGTTTCAGGGAATATGCTTAATACTTCCATTGCAGTTACCGCACCAATGCCATGAATACCTTTTCAAATTTAAATTTGTTGAGCATTTTTGCCATATTTAAAAGAGATGTATTTATACCGAGCTTTACCTTGTGTATAATCACTGCCGACTAAAAAAGCGAGCTGAATCAATTTGTTTCGATCCAAATGGAATAATCGTTGAATATTGTCCGATCGATATTCCAGCACGTGTTTATTTTGATCGAAAAAGTTCTTGTAGACGGCCTTGCCTCCAAACAGCCAAATATCACTATCATCCGTAATTGTTCCCTCAGTCAAGTTGATCTCGTTCAGATAGGCGCACTGCGCTTCGGCTTCCATTGGTGCCACAATGTATGGTACACCGAATAATCGCAACAGCTCCATGCACTCCATGCTCATTTGTTCAGTTATCGATACTCCCAATCTATCCTTCTTATTCCGTTCTGCCATCAAATCTTGACGCTCTTGATTCAGTTGCTCTGCAATATCTTCGAGCTCTTCTTTTGATTTATTTTCACGCAAAGCATTGGCGGCCGATGTCATTGAGTCTTTTTCGGATTTAGTGCCTGATGACGTGGATGGCAAGCATTCGAATACCTCGGAAAGAGATTTAGACGCCTTTGATGGAGTGAGATCATCCTCTTTCTTTGCACTGGCTGGTGATTTCTTCTTTGAACTGGGCGGTGTTTTCTTCACGAAAAATGGTTGAGGTATTTTGGTTGGTGTAGACAATCCTTCTGGTTCGACTTTGTTTTCCTTCTCATGCTCTTTTAATTCTTCCAAAAATGAAATTCCATCGCTTGGTTTTGCATCGGATGAATCTTTTGTTCCCAATATATCGTCTAAGCTGAGTTTGGTAACGGACGATTTTTCATCATTTAATCCATTCAAAATACTTTGTATTTTGGAAGTTGACAAATTGTTCACTGGTCCTTTTGCATTTGATTCGATTTTGGGTTCGGTCGTTTCGGGAGATTGTGATATAGTTTCGACCATTTCAATCTCTTCTTGAGCTACTACTTTTTTTGGACTGTCTTCAATTTCAATTACATCATCTCTTTTGATTTCAATAGTCTCTTTGAGTTCAATCTTCTCCTTGATTTTGCCAACTATTTCTTGATCTGTTTTATCGAAAATATCCGCAAATATATCGTCTCCAACTTCACAAATTTGCCCTGGGTTTATAACCACTTCGATTTTTGTACCATTCGATAGCACCGATGGTTCAGAGCCGACTGGAACACGCACAGGTGGCTCGTTCTATTTTTTGTCAAAAAGAAAGTTGTTATGAACAGATAAGTAATACAGAAATAGTTTCAGAAATAATTATGATAACGAACCATTAAAAAAGGCGGTGGCAATGGCCGTTTGCTTCGCGCAAAAAATGCTAGATCATCATCCGAATCCATTTGGGGCACATCGATGAAATCCGAATCAGCATCGCTCGACACTTCAGCCTCATCATCGTCCGATGAACTCTCAGACATGTTAATCGGTTTCTCTGTTTCAATGTTAATTTTCTGTGAAAATTCTTTTGCCTGAGATTTCGACGTAGATGGTGCGTTTGTGACGGGAGATTTTCCAAACAAAACACTGGTATCATTGAATCTGAAATAGGTGAAAAAAACACGTTTCAATGAAATTTTAGTAAAAAAAGCAATAACAAAATGACACTTACTTAAATTCCTGTGTAATATTGTGACTTTCATTTAATTTCACTAAATCGGACACTTCTTCATCGTTCATGCCACCATATTCAATCATATAGTGTCTTGCCAATGAGTTTGCTGCCGATCCCAATGCTTTTCGTTGTTCAACCGTTAATCGAGCAACATCGCAATCGGTGGCCACTTCATATGCATCTCCTCCGCTGCCCAGAGACATTTGAATCGCTCGTTGCAAATCAAAATCCTCGATTGTAAACTGTTCACTTTTGATAATATCTTCCAATTCTTCATTTTCTCCTTCTATCTTTTCCTCTTTCTCTTCAATCGGCTCCAATGGTTCTTGCTTAATTTTCTCCTCAGCCTCTCGCTTCAATGCTTTTGTGATATCACGAACATGCAAAAATCGAACGTGTTCATTCGATGCAACTCGCTCGGTGGCTATATCCGGATCGACAACACCCTCTTCGGATAGCAAATTCTCTAGCTCAGCCATTGATAGACCACCTTTGCCGCCCATTTCTTTTTCAGCTTCCTCTAGCTCTACCTGAACCTGACGTCGTTTCAAAAGTCTATTCATTTGAAAACTACTAAACGATTGACTTTCGGCTGGTAGCTCGTGTAAACGACCCCATGACGATTGTTTTCGTGTTTCTTTGATATCGGATAGAATTTCGTGGCGAATATCTAAGAAAGTGTAAAACAAAAATGTTATAATTTATATTTCATTGATGAAAATCTCATCCCAATATCATGCTAAAGAAACAAACCAGCCGGTAATGTTTTGAAATGGGTGCTCTTCACATCAATCGCCTGCAAATTGTGATTGTAATGAATCCGTTGTTTTTGATCGAACGACCCATCGCCATCGCTAATATCGCTAACATCAGTGAGTGATTCATCCTTAACGGGATTCTCTTGCATCGGTGGCAGTTTGAATAAATCATTTTCATCGTCATCATCGACTTTCGGAGCTGATTTCTTGGGTGAAACTAACGCTGATGTCGAAGGTCCCAATGCCCGTTGGACGACTTTTTCCTTTGCCAATGCTTCCAATAACAACTGTTGCAACTTGTCAGCTTCACTTTGATATTTATTCTTGTTACGAGCACGTTTAGCCTAGAAAAAATATTCGGAATGTATTATCGAAATTCTTTGAAGGTTGAATGTTATTTTGGTAATTACAATTGTTTCACGCTTCAGTGGTGGAACCTGTGAGAAAAAGGGAGATAAAGCCAAGATTATTCATTTCGTTGAAAATCGATAAGTTTTTAGCATCTAACATACACCACCGTCGAAAACAAAAACTGGTTTAATGCGATAGTACATCAATTTACACAGCCGATGAAATAATCCAAGCAGGTGAGCATTCGGTAGCGTAGCTCCATTTGAATCCTGAAATCCTTTAACTACCTGATGCAACCAAATTGATATATCTATGCGAAAATTACGAGGAAATCGAATTAAGATTAAGTGTTATTGTGAAATTCATACCTAAATTCATGATCATTATACTAACCCACTGCTAGAACCTTATTTTCAAGCGTTTGCACCGGCACCGGCTTCCCAGATTGATCAATCAGCTTCCATAATCCCGTAACTCCCATTTCGGATAATTTCGATGGAAAATCGTCTTAAAAATGCCTCTTTAATTCTTTAGTCGTACCACTCGCATTGCTTATGTTTTGCCGTTTAGCGCGAATAATAACACAAAAGCCAGAATTTGACAGATCTCGTTCAGACACCGCACACACTGAACGCTACCTAGCGAAATGACAAAGTGGTTGAAATGTCATAAAGCATTTGTCAGTCAACCAAGCCAGTTGTGTGTTTTATATGTGTCGTAAACAAACAAAGTTTATATACAATTTTTTTGCAACGAATTTTCGAAAAAAAATCGGGCTCCAAAAGTGTGTTTTAATTCGAATTCAGTAAAAATTCGCCAACAGTATACTGAAAAAGAAAAAAGAGTTGGAGAAAATTGTTTGAATTGAATGTAAAAAAAAAGAGTAACAAATGGCGAAAGTGAAAAAAGACACGGTTTCACCGAAAAAGAGAGGTACAGAAATGGGTGGTTCTAAAAGTTTAATGGAACAAATTCTATCGAAGATTGACAACCAATTAAATAAATGTAATAATATTTTGTCATCAGGTCGTGAAGTAATCAAAAATGCGGAACCATCTACATCGAAAACGACAGAAAAACGAAGCAGATCGAAATCAAACGCATCGAAAAAAGCAACTTCAACAGTGGCGTCAGATGCAGAAATTCATTCAGGGATTTCAAGCAGATCGAAATCAAACGCATCGAAAAAGGCAACTTCAACTGTGGCGTCAGATGCAGAAATCGATTCAGGGATTTCAAGTCCAGAGAAATCAAGACGAACATCTCGAAAGGATCGATCGTCGGCTGCTTCAACAATTTCGAGAATTAGCAACAAATCAAAAGCATCAATTGCGAAATCACAAAACGTAAGTGGAACATCAATTTCATTTTTTTGACAAACTATAATATATTGTATCTATGGTTATTGATTTTTTTTTCTTCTGGTATTTTGTAGAAAAAGTTGAGCGATATCACATGGCTGAAAGGATTGATTCAGGGCGAAATACAATCCCAACATAAGGTGCAACGCACAAAATCTGGCATCGGTATTTTTTTCCATTGCAATTTTCTATATTTTTGTCCTTTTTTCCAATTCTTCACACCAATGTTCTTCAAATCGAATAATAAAAATTTCATTTTGCAGTGGTTCGTTATCCAAGTTCCCTTCAACATCGAGTAGAGGACAAAATCGAATATGTAACGTATCCGTGGTGTAACAAAAAATGTAGTGGCTACGTGAAGATCGCACCGGGACTTGAGAAAATAACTAAGAGAACTGGGACAACAATGGTAAGTCAAGGCAAAAAAAAACGAATTAAAAAATTATTCTATTTTTATTTAACACAACCAAGCTCTGGCTGAATAGATTAGAGGTATGGCCGGAAAAGAGTGCAATAACTGTTACAATAACTATCAGTTCTTGTCTCGTTAAAAACCTGACTCTTTTCATAAATTTTGCAGTATTCACAAAAGTAGGCACATGAAAACCAGAACATAGTCATACCAAGATGGAAATGCTTGATAGTAGTCAGATAGCAAACGGTTCAAAAGAACCCTTGGTAAACGTTTCCAAAAGGACAAAGTAGCGTTAGGTGTTAACACGTTTAGTTTGTGACTTTTAGGTCAGCAAAACGGGTAGATAAATTGACGAGAAGTTTTACGTCGATTTAGGCATATCCATGTTCCATGATAAAATGTAATAATTAATCCATAAGTTCCTTCGTTTCTTTCTTTTTGTAGATATTTTTGATTCTAATGGGGAAAATACTGTTGTTGAGTGGAGAAAAGAGCACCGAGTTCAAATCTGGGACATTAATCACAATTCCAAAAGGTAATGAAAATACATTTCAGTAATGTAGTATTGTTTGTTGAAAGAAAAAACAACATTTGAAGTAAAGTCAATCAAAAAACCTACAATAATGTGTGTGTGTTGGTAATTTCATTTCAGGTGCCAGATACGGATTGAGGAACAAAAGTAAAGAGACGTGTTTTTTGCGATTCCAATCGATATGTGATTAATACAGTGCCGAATAAAAGAATACCAGTTGATTACCGAGTACCCGAACAGAGAAATTATTGATTAATTCATCACAATGTTCAAATGTTAAGTTTGATGTGAAACAAACATAAAAAAAAAATAATTTCATGAATAATAATCATTTAGTGTTGTGTTAAGTGAAGTATTACCTCACTGAAGTAATGCTGCGTTATGCATGCCTTTACTGTTGATTGACAACCACATAGCTTTAACGACGGTTGAAAGTTCGCCGCGAATTTGCTAATAATTCCATTTTCGCCCTATCTATGACGTTTTCCATTTCGCTTGTTATTCTTGCTCTTATATTTTCTCATATGTTTTCATTTCATTTTGAGTGAGTTGAATTTAAACTTAAATTTAAATTGAATTTGAAGGAAAAAACAATTTTGCCATGCAATTAAATTAGTTTTAGAATGAATTTCGTGTATTTCCATGTGTATTTAGGGATAAAAATAAAAAAAAAATATTTGAAAAAAACTAAAACTTCAAACAGAATCATGTTTAATTTATCCAATATTCAAAAACGGGGCAATAGCAGAGTTTTGAAATTCTATGAAACGGCCGATTCATCGCAAATACATTCGTACGCTGACCTATACAGTGATTCAACAAGTCTGTCCACATGCCTTGCAAAATTGTTGGGAAGTACAGTTATTGACAACTGTGCACGTGGTTTCAATGTAGCAATATTGCTGCCAGTGCATTCGCCGGCTATTTTACCATCGATTGTTGGGTACATTCCATTCGTTGACTGTCATTCAAAATATTACTTTGCTTATTTCGTTGCTATTATTTCATTCCGTAGAGTTGAGAATGCTGGATGTGTAAGCTGTTTTCTTGATTTCCCTCAACCAATTCCGTATATCAAGAAGCGACTGGTTGACTTTGGGACAAACATTGTTTTATGCGATTTAGAAAATGTCATCAAACTTAATGCTGGAGATGAACAAGTTGAAATCATTTCGAATATCACTTTGTTTGATAGAAAGTGCGTTCTGGCTCGATTTGAGAGCATCACACTCAATGTAAATAGACATTCAAATAGTGACAAGGATGATACGAGCAAGTCATCGAACATATTTTTTTATGCAACTACATCGGGGTCATGCGGTGAAGTGAAACCGATTGGTGTTACTTATAAATGTTTCTCGCCGAACATTGCGAGCATTGGGTAAGTTTGGAAGAATGACCTTCAAATAGAAGATTGAACGAATATCTGACGCTAGTGGAATTTAGCTAGTAGTTCTTGTCGACTATTCCACATCAAATCGACCGATATCATGAATAATATGTGTGTAAATTTTGCATTTGACAGGAAATTATACGGTATAACTGAACACGATGTAATTTTTGTATCATCACCACCAACTTTCGACCCGTTCATGGTTGATATTTGCCTAGCACTACACCACGGAGCCTCTTTGATCATGACATGCAATGCGTTAAGATGTGATGCGACCGTGCTGTTGAATATTCTATTTCCACGTGATTCAGACAAAATTGAAGTAACAATAATGCAAACAACGCCATCACTCTTTATGCGTTGGTCGTCCAGCGAAATATCTACCAGAATATTTTCGTCGAATACGCAATTACGGATTCTAGCCTTTGGCGGTGAGGCATTTCCAGCGACAAGTAAAATATCCAAATGGATAAACTGGGAAAATAGTCATATGACGAAAATTTTCAATTTGTACGGCCTGACCGAAATGTCATGTTGGGCTGGTATTTATGAACTGACAAAAGAAGACATTCGAACAAACCAACGCATACCAATCGGCCATCCCATCGACGAACAAACTGAGTTTGAAGTTAATGCCGACGGCGAACTACTATTGAAATCTAAAACTCGCAAATGTTTTCAACCAAAACTAACTGATGCTCAAGTAATTGACAAAGATTTTGAATTCGTTTTACATACCGGAGACTTGGTAGAGGTTACAGATGATTCCAACATATACTTTACATCGCGATCTAATGCTATAATTAAGTTGTACGGGCGAAAGATTAATTTATGTGAAATTGAAGCGTGTGCTAAATTGGTTGGTGTTGAGGAATCTATATGCATACATGATATAAAACACAATTCAATCGATCTCTTTGTTGAAATTGTTGGCGATTTTGATGATATAAAAAGACAAATAACTAAAAAACTACAACAATTCGGCGTTCATGTCAAAATTTATTGTGTTACCAGTTTCCCATTGACAGCGCACGGCAAAATTGATAAATCGGAGCTATTGAATACTGTGTACTCAAATAATGATGGGCAAAATTCAAAGCCCGAATCAGTTCATTTGATACTAAAGCAACTAATCAATGAGTCACTTGGCACACAAATCGAGCTTTCAATTCGGTTAGAGTCATCCGAATCGCATAAGAAGCCAAAACAAGACATCGACTTATCATTCATTCATTTGGGTGGCACTTCATTGAAAGCAATTCAAATAGTCAACGAATTTGAACGCAACGTTTCCTACTCAATTCCACAAGTACTGACGATGCTGTTAGATGATCGAATTGCAATACGTGACATTCTGACTTATGTGTTAAACGTAAATAAGTCAAGTGTTGAAAACGGCGAAAAACCGAATGAGACCATTTTGGAAATGACACCCTGTTGGAGAATTGATATGAAAAAATGCATTGATGCTACACCTACCGTATGTGTGCTGGATGGCATGGTTATTGTATCCGTCGGCAGCCACTCAAAATTATTGTACAACATTTCGGTGAATGATGGCAAAATAGTATCCAAATTGGAATTACCCGACCGCATCGAAAGTCAAGTGACTCAATTGGATGGTTGGGGCATTGTTGGATGCTATGATGGTCATCTGTATTGCTTCGACATTCGAACGGGTTGCATAAAATGGAAATTCAATTCGGGAGCCATGATTAAGTGTCGCGCTCTGGTAATTGGTTCAAGAGTCATATTTGGCAATTATAATGATACAGACAACTTGTGGTGCTTGGAAGCAACAAACGGACGATTGATCTGGTCACAAAGGATCGGGACGACGTGTAGTATCTATGCCAATCCAATAAAATTGGATAGTGACAACTGTCTGGTCTGTTGCCTTGACGGTACAGTCTCATCGGTGAACTCTGCATCAGGTGAAATACAATGGTCATTCAAAGCAGAAGCTCCAGTGTTTTCAACACCGTCGGTATTTATGAATAATCAGCACGAAACGCAAATCATACTTGCCGCTGTGAATGGCCGTATCTATATTTTGAATAGCGATGGTGTCGTCAGGTGGAATCACAAAATCAACGGCAATATTTTTTCATCCATTGAATATTTCACAAATCCATCAGATGCCACTTGCATGAATTTTGTTTTCGGGTCACAGAATCATTATTTGTACAGTTTCAAAATGGATTCAAAGAGTGAATGTGTAGAAAATTGGCAGCACGAAATGTCAGCACCCATTCGATCAACTCCAGTTTTAGTAAGAAAAGAGCGAAAATTGTATGTTGGTATTTTTTCCTCCGATGGAACATTTAAATTGATTAGCTGTGATATCGGACGATTGGTACATCAACGCAAAATTGATGGCGATGTTTTTTCAACACCAGCAATACACGAACAAAACTTGTTTGTTGGGAGTAGAAATAATTTTATTTATTGCATTGATTTAACGGATTTTGATTAAAATGAATTGTTTTCCCTAGAAAAAAATGGTTTACGTATATTTTTTTCCATTTGCTCCAAAAAATAAAATTAAAATTTTTTTTTTACTCTTCTATAAAATAATTAAAAATACTCTTTTTTAATTTTGTTTTCCAAATTTTTACTCATCAATTTCATAAAAATAATAAGAAATATAAAAAAATACAAACATAAATGCAAAGAATTAATAGGATTAAACTCTTTTCCCGGGAGCTAAATTGAACGAAAGCCATTTTTCTTAATCAATCAACCGATTCTGTATGTGGTATCACAAAAGGAAGTTATATTTTCTAATCAAAAATGTTATTTAGATTAGATTGAATGCTAAGATTTTTTTCTTACGGCCAAATCACAATCGAATGAATGTGTATAATTTGGTTGTTATGCATTTATGTTAAACATACATGATAAATCATTGTTTCAAATAATAAAGAGCAATAGAATGTAAGACGAAGAGAAAAACAAAGCCAAATTAAAGCAGGACAAAAAGCGAATAAAGCGAAAAATAATTAGATTTTTCTCACGAAGCATTGAAATTGTTGTTGCTGTGGTTTTATTTGTGATTTTGTTTTTCTAGAAGAGATACAAATTACGGCTGAAAGAAAAAAAAATTGTGGAAATTATAGTCAACGTTTGAGTAGTATAAAATAGCAAAATAGAACACACACACACATATATATATATATAAAGAGAGGGAGACAGAGAAAACGTTGAAAGTTTGGGAGGCGAAAAATGGAGATATAAAACGAAAAACAGGTACACATACGAAGGCAATCATTGAGTAACAAATCAAACAACGGGTATAAGTACAATTGCGTCTCAGCGTACTTGCGCGAGATGTGGTCGGTGTACAGTGTACCCATGATAAACTGAAATAAAATGGAAATCAAAAGCACATAATAATAATGGCACAACAGTAGTAGTGGAAAGAAAAAAATAAAATAACATCCGAGTTCTCATCATCGAAGCCACACTCATTATAACAGCAACCATGTGCTTGGCGTTTCATTTAGCCGCATTCACTTGACGTTCACTCCGTTTGTATTCTTTGAAATTCCTTACTATGTTTATTGTATGGCGGTTTGATATAATTATTTCACCAAGTTCCCACACACACAAAATTTTATGTTAATTGTGGGAGATTTTAAGCCGAAAAAAAAAGCGGAAAAGAAATCTTTTTTGTTCAGAGAAGAGCAATCAATCGTACGTTGATGCCTCTGCCATGATAAAGAAGTTACAACGAAAGAAAAAACAGTTTCAGTGGAATAACAGACGCGTCCAATAAGAAAATGCCTCGAAATTCATGCTAAGCCTTCGTTTTGACATATAGGCGATAATCGAAAATTCACTTGAAGCGATTTCATCAACGGGGAAAAAAAAGAAACGAAACAACAAATCAATGTTGATAATGTATCGTAAAAATAAACAATCAACATTTTGAATGATTTAGTGACAAAACATCGACATTGACGCTGTGGATATTGTGCGGAAATCCGATTATTTCGAAAGGAAGCGTACATATAATGGTATTAGAGGGGGGCCGGTTTTTGTATCTTTCTCTTTCTCTCGTTCGCTCATGCTAATGCCATGAATACACGCATAAACGCATCGAATTATTGACTACATAACAACATAAGATTTGAGTCAATTTGTGTGTGTTTTTTCATCTCTCTCCTATAGAAGAATCATCATTGAGAGCAAGAGAGAGCCGAAGTAGAGAATACGCATACCGAAAATCCATTGTGGATTCACATAAGCCCAAAGAACATTAAAATATATTGAAGTTGAGCGAAACAAGCAAAAACACTGACAAAAGTAGCGGCAGTCACACAACATCAACAGCAACAGCAGCAACAACAAAAAATGATCCCATTTCAACGTGAAAACACAACATTTGTCAAAATTCCCACGATTCTCCCACGCCACTCCGTCTTGCTTTTTTCGCTTCGCTCCCAACGTACTTTGTACTATCTGCTATGCCTTCGTCAAATATTCAAACGTCTGCTTGCCGTTGTTGTTGTTGTTGTTGTTGTTGTTGTTGGTACTGCTGCTGCTGCTGCTGCTGCGTTCGGAATTAATACATATCCATGCGATTGCGTTATACACGCTCGCTAGAAAATAGATGATGTTGGTTTTGATCTGGTTTTATTTTTTTGCCTTTTGTTTTCTGTTTTGCTCACATCGAAGAGTCACGGTTTGTGCAATGCTGACGGACGGCCGTATGCGATGTTTAGTTGATACACGAAACATTGCACCGTTCGGAGCATACACATGCAGCCAGCAAGTAACAATAATAGATACATTAAAAGACTCTGTGTCGATGCGAATCATTCCTTTACGCACAGAGCACAGAGCACAGAACGGCACATACGTAGCCGCCACAATCAAAACATGTTGTCGGATCCATATATTTGAGACTCTTGAATATTGCTCATTCACACGAAAACAGCAATAACATAACAAACATGCAGAAGCTACTGCAAGTTAATCAACGCTCTTTATGAATATTCATAAAGTCAGCACAGAATAGATATGATAGATACAGATATAGCGATAGAATGAATGAAGAAGATTGAGCGCATTTTTATTTTTTCTCATCATAGTTTCTTCGCTATTGTTATCATTATGGAGTTTTGTTTTTTTTTTTTCTTCAACGAAACAGCACAAACAAATGCGCATTCATCTCGGTACCGTTTGTTTGTGTGAGAGCAAACGGAAATTCATATCCAGCAGACGAAGGAGACTGAACGCGAGCAATCGTTGTTCCAATGCGGTTTAATTGGATTTGATGAATAAATTTTCAATTGAAAACCACTCCAATTTTCGAAATCCAACACTATGTGATGTGTCTACATATTATGACGTCCAACATCAATTCGAGTGGATATTTATTCAACTTTGGTAAAAACGAAAAATTCTCCTAAAAAATTCACCCGAAAAGAAAATATTCTTACAAGATTTCTTCGTCCAAAAATTTAGTTCCCACAGCACCTTAATTTGTTGACCACTGACCTGTATCGACGTGGTCATTTTTGTATGGTTCAAACAATTCAATTGCGTTCAAGACGTCCATTTAAAATTTAAATTTCTCCAGTCGAAGAAGACAGTCAATTTGCGTCCCTTCGATGCAATCGTTGTAGCTCAACCGTGAGTACCACTCCATTTAAATGGCCAAGGTGAAATGAAAACAAATCGTGTACTCTTCGCTGTGTATTTGTTTGGTGTCGCTAAAGCAATTTCTTATACGATTCATTGTGTATCGTGTAAGAAAATCCATGTCTTCATACATAGTATTCCATTGCCTGCCACACACACGCATTAATAATTAAGAAGACGGAGGAAGAACATGAGAAAGAAATCATAAGAAACAAGTAGACCCTTTAATTCTTTCTCTCTCTCTTTTCGTCTCTCTTTCTCATTCATTATTTCTTTTTAAAATGCGTTGTTTGTCTTATGAGTGTATCATCATCACACAAGGATTGACACAAACAAGCATAAACACCATGATTTAAATGAGAAATAAAAGAAATTTCTGTGTTTTTGCTTAAGATTTGGTTCGTCCGATTTCAATGTGTGTTGAGATTGAGATGGTTGAATACGATAATTGTAATTAACAGTTTGATTGCTCTAGTAATTTATAATTTTTTACGACTTTTTCTAAAGCGTGGGAAAAAATGTAGCCGATCGAGAATTCGTCGTGGTGTTAAGTGGATATTCAACGCAAATCTTTTCTACTCTCTTCGGTTTGATGAAATAGAGAATTTTTGGTCGAAAATTTTGAACATAAATTCTTCTTCCAGGGATTCTTCGATGGATGTGGCGGTGGATGTTGAAGTCATTAATAAAACAACTGAAACAATTATGCGAAAATCTATTTACAATGCGGATCAACTCGCTCTCATAAATAAGTAATCATCAACGCGTTAATTTTTGGTTGTTTTTCACTCCCGAGGCTATTTCAAAAAGGGTGAAATATATGTACAACACTCAACATTTGTCTGCCGTTGTAAGGAAATTTGTGTGACTCTCGTATGTGGAATGGGCTAGATAACGACGAAATGGAGCGAAACGTTTATTTGCAATGTTCTGGCAAGAGTTCTGCTTTTCGACGAGTTTCAAGTGAAAGTGAAAATGATCCACGTTCAAAATGTTTGCAAAACGAGTTAAGCGTAAAATGTTAGCCAAATTTGCCAAAAGTCGTAAATATTCTGCTGTATCTCTTCTTTTAGTTGTTTGTACGCTCCAGAATAACACATAAAACAGAGCAATAAACGATTATGTGCACGGAACGTTCTATTTGCACCACGAAAACGATTGGGTGAGTGAGTGTGCCATACTCGGGGAAAAATTTTCGGTGCTCATTTAATTTATTACTGTTACGTTGGCACTTTTATGTGGGAATTGTTTGAATGAAAACAGGTGTTCAGTATAAAATTGTGTACGCTCTGGGTTTTTTCTCTCGTACTCCCAGTCTCTCTGGCTATGGATACAGTACAGTATATATGAGTGCGTTGTGTGTTGAATCGTCTTTGGCGCGCGCGAGAGAGACGCGTCTAAAGTACTTATCTTTAGCACTATATTTGTATATTCGGTATACATAATCCCTTCGTTGTAATACATTTTTTTTTTGCTTCTTGTTCGCACTTTTATCCTATTTGGTCCGATTCCATGGCAATCTCTTATATTTTTTTTGTTTCGTTTGTTCGTTCATTCGTCGTTTTGCCTTTCCACGTTATTTTCGATGTGTGTATGCGTGCATCGTTTTGTTGAAATGCAATTCATATTTGGCAGTACTAGCTTCAGTTTGCCAGAACAGAGAGATCGAAAACCGTCGCTAGCACACACAAAACGCATACGGAACCGAATTTTACAACAAAAAAAGCCGAGAGAGAAAAAAAAACACACATCAACGACATATTCGAGTGAGGGGTGCCTCTGTTCACATGTACGTTGTAGAATCCGAATGGAAAGACAACAAAAATCAACACACAACAAACGGCCAAACAACAATAGGCATCAACGTTGAAATTGTGCGATCAACATCCACCGTAATGACACCGCATGTGTATCGTGCCAATGCGACCATACGGTTGTCTCTTTCGGCTTTGTTTATAGACTCGTATTCCCGCTCTCACACACGCACCACCACATGCACGGATGTGCGGCAACATACAAACACTCTTACACACACGCAAACAGCAACCGCTCAACATACTCGACGAGGGAATCATTCAAACAAATTCCTTCCAGTCGTAATTCGAACGATGAAGAACGTAGACCGAATCATTTCATTGTTGATGCTGGCGTATCGTTGATAGTAACGCAAACATTACGCCAAATTATTTTCCAATTCGGTTGGTTTTTTGTTCGATCTGTTTTTTTTCCGTTTTCGCCAATAAATTCGCTTCATTTTTATTTCCATCAAAATTTTCGGTTTTGCATTTGGTTTCAACTCAGAGTAGTAAACGCATCAATCGGTTTTTTTTTATCGTCGATACGTCCATATAATTGCGTGTGTGAATGCAGATGTTGTTAAAACTTAATTTTTTTCTCTCTCTCTCTCTCTCTCTCTTCGTCTCGTTCGTTTTGTTTCGTGTGCTGTGTGTTGAATTTATACAAGAGTAAAAAAAAAAGTACCGACCATTCATTGGAAGTTTTGACAGTTCTTTGTAAACCAGAAAGAGAACAAATACCAAAAACATTGTCCGTTGCACACTATTGGAACGAATGTTGTGTGTTCAACGCAAGTAAAAGATAAGCAACAAATAAGTGAGGTTAGAGTAGAATTTATTTGAGTGTTTTGTTGTCAACATAAACACAAGAGAAAAAAAAGACTTGAAAGTAGTTTTTTTTGGATCGAAAAGAGAACGAATTGGACACAAGCAAAAAATAATTAATGGTGAAAATATGTCCAATATGATATCTTCGGTGTGGACGAAGACAACGAAATATGATTTGTGCATCGAATTTGTAACTAGTGTGTAGAAAATAAGCAAACGAAATTCTTTAATTTATTTGCTGTTTGGAGTGTGCATTGAATGAGAGGAAAGAGAGACGCTGCATTTATTTTGAGAGGATATAATTGCAAAAAAGTCGTGCATTGAAACATAATCCAAACAAAACGGAAAAAATGCCACATCAGTATGGTTTGCCGGGTTTTGCACAGTCACCACCGAGTCCACCATCTCAGCACGGTGCGCTGTTGCCACGAATTGGCGGAGGAGCCGTGGTGCCGGGCAGCACTGGCACCGGATCAATGACAAACACAAATTCCAACACAATGTTCCGATTAGAAGAGGACACGAGATTAACACGAGAAGCAATGGAACGATATATGCGCGATCGCAACGACAAAGTCATAGTTATTTTACATGCAAAGGTAATTTTTCGTTTGTGTACTAAATTAAAATTGTAAAATCGCGACTAGGTTTTTTTTTTTCAGTTTTCACTCAATTTTCTTCTTCTCAAAATCAAAGTAGCCCAGAAAAAAAAAATAATTCCAAATTCCAAAAATACATCGACGATGTTTTCGAAGCCAAAAAATATCAGTGTTGATATACCAATTAAACCGTGTAATACACATGGAACCACATTACAATTTTTCAATCCAACAAATTTATCCAGTGTACACAATCACGTACTGCTCATTCACCCAGAATGGCTAAATGGATTTAATGCGGCATTTGAAAAATCATTCGGAATCAATAAAAACATTTGCTGTAATTTCGGTTTAAATTCGATTGGTTTAAATGGTGTTCAATTTGGTTTCGATTATTTTGCCAACAATGAATCGGATTCAATACGAAAATGGCCAATCATTCGTTTCGGATTGAATGCATATGAAAAACTAGCAAAATTGTTCATTTGTTATCAACCAACATCGTCGTTACGTTTGAGATTTGAAAATCAAGCAATCATTCCAAAAAATGTCGGCGGATTCGGTGATTATAAATTATGGTCGATTTCATCAAGTAGTGCTTTGCATGCAGATTGGTTTGGAAAATCATCAAAAGTGTCATTCTCTGCCATCTCATCGAATGAGCAGTCAATTTCGGCGAATTTGTCTTTTTTGGCGAAGGCTTCATCGAAGTTTTTATGGGGAGCCGAATTACACTGTAATCAAAGCCTCAAGCACAAATCAATTAGCTTCGAGCCTTGCTTATCTGCCGCTTATTTAAGTCGAAATGTAAAACTATCTGCATCGATTTGGCCAAACACAGCGAAAATTGATTTGTCATGTTTCAAGCGAATTGGTGACCGTTTTCAATCCGGTTCAATTTTCATCATTGATGTTCCAGCCGAAATAACAACCGGCACCGTGTTCTGCCAATATGCACTTGAAGATTCAGTTATTCGTGCAAAAATCGCATCAAACGGCTTGGTCGGTGCTACTTATGAGATTAAACTTTGGAACTTCAGCATCACAAACAGCATTTTGGCCAACATGTTTACAAAGAAAATAATTTATGGCATGCAAATTGGAATGGAATTCTGAGCGAAATAAAATCAACATTTAAATCGTTTTTTTTTTTCGTCTTCTTACTTTTTTTTTTAAATCAAAATTGTCTGTTTTGAACTGAAAAAAATGCTTGCTTTACCATTTTTTTCCTCTGTAGTATGAATAAATTACTATTTTTGTTTTATTTTGAATTCAAATGTTTTCAGGTGGCTCAAAAATCTTATGGAAATGAGAAGCGTTTTTTCTGCCCGCCACCGTGCATTTATCTATTCGGCAATGGTTGGCGCCATCGGCAAGAGGAGATGATTCGAAATGGTGAAACCGAACAGGGATCTCAGTTATGTGCATTCATTGGGATTGGCAATTCTGATCAGGATATGCAACAGCTTGATTTAAATAATGGCAAACAGTATTGTGCCGCAAAGACTCTTTTCATATCCGATTCCGATAAGCGAAAACATTTTATGCTGTCGGTGAAAATGTTCTATGGCAATGGTCATGACATCGGAATGTTTCATTCGAAACGCATCAAAGTCATATCAAAACCGTCAAAAAAGAAGCAATCGCTGAAAAATGCCGACCTCTGCATAGCAAGCGGAACAAATGTGGCGTTATTCAATCGGCTTCGGTCACAAACGGTGTCCACGCGATATTTGCACGTGGAAAATGGACACTTTCATGCAAGCTCAACGCAATGGGGTGCATTCAAAATTCACTTGCTGGATGACAACGAAAGTGAATCGGAAGAATTCTTGGTAAATTTTCTTTATTTTCAACTCTCTATATTTTTTTAATCATTGAATTTTAATTGAAAATTTGAGGAAAACAAAATGATAAAATAATACGGAATTTGCTTTGAATCCAATAGGTCAAAGATGGTTACGTGCATTATGGTGCAACGGTGAAACTAGTCTGTTCGGTAACGGGTATGGCGTTACCTCGTTTAATCATAAGAAAAGTGGATAAACAAATGGCATTGCTTGAAGCCGACGATCCCGTTTCGCAGCTACACAAATGTGCATTCTACATGAAAGACACCGAACGCATGTACTTGTGCTTGTCGCAGGAGAAAATCATTCAATTCCAAGCGACGCCGTGTCCGAAAGAGCCAAACAAAGAGATGATTAATGACGGTGCTTGCTGGACTATCATTTCCACCGATAAAGCTGAATATCAATTCTATGAGGGAATGGGACCCGTGCGGTAAGCTAACTTTTTCCCACATCAATTCCACTAAATGTTTCATTCAGAAAAACCTCTGGAATAAATGTTTATTTAATGCACCATTTTTGAATTTCATACATGCATGTACGTGTCTTCTGATCGATTGAAAACTTTTGAAATGGGTATAATTGAGCTATTTTACGGAAAATTAAATGGAAAACCTCAAACATTTTCTTCGACTATACTCAAATATTACAATTTTAAAACAAAAAACATGTTCGAAATCGATTCAACTCGATTCGATTCAATTCGTCGTTTAAATCAAAACCACCTCATTCCGTTTGTACTGAAAAAAGCGGCCCGTTCTTTTCTCAAACTCTTTATCTGTTCATTAATTTTCTTTGAAAAATGTTCATCAAAAGAAGAAGAATAACATTGCAACCACATGAAAGTTATTTAATTTGTTCTAACTAGTTTCAAAGCTTCGACAGTTTGCTCGCAATCGACGATTTTTGGCTGACGTGGTTCAAGCTTTGATTCTAATTTTCCACTTACAACCACACTAATACTCGCCGCTAGCGCTCAACGTGCTCAATCAAATGGATCGTCGCTAGCGCTCAACGTGCTCAATCAGATGGATCGATAGCGTAAATACTGCAAATGAAGATATCCTACATTCACATTCAACAGTTTATGTTCCATTTAAATCAATCGATACTAGACACAGCAAGTCTTTAAATATTCAAGAAACATTTGGTGTGATTTCATCTGTGTGCTGAATTGACTGACATGTGAGTATTGTGTTTATAATTTCAGGTCACCGGTGACTCCAGTGCCAATAGTAAACTCATTAAATTTGAACGGTGGTGGCGATGTTGCGATGCTTGAACTAACCGGTGATAATTTCACACCGCATCTACAAGTTTGGTTCGGTGATGTTGAAGCGGAGACAATGTACCGATGTGCCGAGGCTCTGCTTTGCGTTGTGCCGGATATTCAAGAGTTCCGTGGTGAATGGCTCTGGGTAAGTTGGTATATGATGAAAAATGATGATTATTTTTCCTTAAATTTAAATAATACGATCGTTTTTAAACTAAAATGCGAACTAAATAAACTGAAACTAAATTATAAACTCCCGTTAAGTCAAATAAGCATACCACATTACAATCGATTCATTGAAATCAATTCCCAAGTTTTAATTAAAACGCAGAAAAAAAAGATGATATTTTCAACCGATTTATGGAAAAAGCATGCAAACATGCGATATTTCTTTCTTGATTTGATTCCACTGAGAAAAAAAAAGAAGAACGAGCATTTGTTTTATACCGTAATAAAATGGAAACACTAATCAAAACCTCAACCATTAATTATTCATTCATTTATTCGTAACGAGCGAGTATATTCGAGCCATTGTTTTAAAATGTACGTTGAGTTTTTTTTTTACAGCTATTCGACTATATATATCTATCTGACAATTGCGTGCGCTCGAAAATGTTTCCTTTAATTATACAATCATTTGTGTAATCTAGTTAAAAATGAACAGAATTCAATTTTGAATCTGTTTCTTCTCTATCTCCTTTGATTTTTTACTTGGAATCAATTAATTTTAACGATTTGCTGCAATTAGAATCGGCTATTAATAGGGGGTTCTTGAATGATTTTACTGAAGAAATCAATAATTTTCAAATTTTTCATTCTTTTTCTTTTTTATTCTTTATTTCCAATGCCATTTTCCGTTCGGTGTCGATGAAAAAAAAAATAAAATAGGTGCGTCAGCCAAAGCAAGTGCCAATTTCGCTAGTTAGAAACGACGGAATAATTTATGCAACCGGATTAACATTTACGTACACCCCGGAGCCAGGACCACGTCCAAATTGTCCACCTGCGAGTGATGTGATGCGTGGTGGACGCCACAACTCAGGCAACAGTAACACCAACAACAATAACAATACGACTAGCAATTCGAGCGTTACTCAAAATGCGCTGCCATCTATATCGAATGTAGCATGGAATTCGCATTCCGGCCTATCATAGACTCCTGAGCTTTAGACACATATTGATTTGTTCTTAACGAATCAATTCGTTTATTATATTTTTTGTGGGTCAGCCACAAGAGATTCTTTCCTTTTTTGTGGCTGACCTTCCATCGAATATATATATGCTAAAAAGCAAGCATCAAATTTGTTGAATGTAATTTTGTAAAAAATAAGTAGGTATGCGCTATGATCACCTATTTTTTTTTAAAAAATCAACTTTTATTCACCACTCGCGTATTTTTGTTACAAGACACACAGACACATATAGATGCAACAAATCAATTATTCTATTGAAATACTAAGAATTTAAATTTTGTATTATAGAAAATATCATTTTTTTGGATATTGATTAAGAAATTTTGCAAATTGTGAGAGAACCGATTCATTCTTTCTATACTATCTTATGTATGATTTTCGTCGTATGTAATAATTCAATCATTAGATTTTATAATTTTATTTACTCGTATTTAAAATCTCAAAACGTCTCAAAGCAAAAAAAAAAAAACAAAAGCAACATTTCAAGGAACATCTAATAGCTTAACGAACAAATTTGTATCTCATTTCTTCTAATATTTTCAATTAATTTTCTCGCATAAATTTTCGTCACAAACGTCATTGAATGTAATTTACACCCAGAGAATAGACAGAGAATTCCTCAACAACAACAAAAATGAAACTTTAAATTTTGATTTACACACATTTACTGAGACTCAAGATTCATGTATCGAACAACAACAACAAATAAGCAGAACAATTACGTTTTTTTCCCTCTTACACTTATTATTTGTCTGTATTTCATTTTGCGTCGCGATCAACTCCATCGTCTGATAGATAAGCTAAACGAATTGTTTTATGTTCGCTGTCCGTGGTGCATCATTGAAAATATTTCAAACGTTTTTTTTTTCTTGTGTGTTATCTTGTAAAACGGATGTTGTGATCGCTATCGGTTTACCTCGAATCAGTTTATTAATAAATTCTTGATATATATGCAATGCACTGAAGACAGGCAGCAAACACATGAATGCAACATCTCTCTTGATGATTTTCAAGAACTATAAAATACATGATTGTGACTTCACCGCTAAAAATAGACTCAATGATATAATCAAACAAATGCAAAATTATGAATATGAATCCATAGCAAATGGCAGCAAAATTTATTTTGTTCAATTTGAAATAGTGAGAAAAGAAAAACAGGAGAAACTAAACGAATTGCCAAATTTATTGACAAAGACGATAGCGAATGAGAGTGAGAGAGAATGAAAATTAATCATTTTTTTATACCGAATATGAACTATATATATATCGTAGGAAAATGATTCGATTTTAGAGTAATAAGCATATCAAAACACTCATTCCTGACTGTAAAATGATCAAAAAGACGGAAAGAAAAATATTCATTTTTTAAGAAAAATAAAAATACATAAGTTTTTAAATCAAACCAACCAGAAATTGTAGTTTCAACATTTTGAATTTATTTGCAAGAGATAAAGGTGGCCGCCTCCTTCTCTATTTTCAGATAATTTGGAGGTTGTTCCAAAATATTCATGTGAATACCAAAATCAACTCGTTCACATCGAGTAAAGTTGACTTTAATAGCTGGCTTGGCACGGTGCTCACCAAACCGTGGAGAGAATCAACCAATCAGCGTCAGCGATTCAAAAGAAAATCACCATCTTACCGCTCTTTCCGCACAAAATATAGATTGTTATTGCATTGTTTTTTTTTTGTCATTGTCTCCACATTCGTTGTTTGCGACGGCAACGGCGGTGGTGGCAGTAGCGGAGCCAACAGAATAAATATTAAGAGCACCACTAACGCCTTAATGCCGTGCTGCCGATACAGATGAATAAAACAATGCGATTCAACAAAACAATGGAATAAGTAGATTTGGCGCATACCTTCTGTATAGTGAACGAATTATAATTTGAACTGGATTTATAAGTTGTGGGAACTCCGTGAAGATGAATAAACCAACTAAGCCACACTATTTTACTCTTATTTAGCTATCACCACAGAGCGGTGAGCTAACTGTAGCGTTTTTATTTTGTTGTCAGAAGAAACAAAACAAATGAACAAGAATTTCCGGAACTTTCATAATTAATGCGATGCGAAGCGATGCCGTTGTCAGTTTACTTTTATAGCGAACTTCATACATATTGTTTAAAGTGCTTTAATTTCTCTGCTTCGGCTTACATCAAAGTTGCATCCCATTTTAATATTATCCCAATCAAATATTCATATTTTCAATGCAATTCCGAAACAAACTTCTTTCGCATTACCTTGATTTGAAATTTGCATTGTTTTTCACTTTGGAATTTTGGAAAAACGTTCATCAGAAGTGAGCTTGAGCAAAATGAGCTGTGTTGACAATAGTTATATCAAAAAGAATTCAAGCATCTTGGGAGAAAAAAAATCAACAGTTCAATATTTTTGAATCAATAATTCAAATTCCTTAATTTGTCGAATAAAACATTTGGTGAGAATTCCCGTGATTTTATTTAGTATAAAAGTCAGCCCCGAAACATACTCTGCTTTTCTTTAGTTATAACAGTTATTAATTTGAGATTTATTCAATTTTATTTTCAAAACGGTTAAATTGGGATCCAATCGAAGAGTTTAGAATAGATTGGATTTGATAATAATACCGTTTTCTCACATTAAAAATTTATTCCATAAATATACCCAACTTTATTTCACCCACCAACAGTCATTTAAAAAGTTTTCCACATAGCTATGCTACAGTTGTACGAATCAAACTATTATTAACGCAAATTTTCTGAAAAGTTGAAAATTTTCTTTAATTTTTATGGAATATTTCTCTGCAGGAATAAAAAAATTTCTCAAAGTATATGGACTCATACACTGTACGGTATTGGTAAAATTTTCAATCAAACGATGTCAAGAATAAATGTCCAAAAAAATTACTGGTCATTAAAAGTCGTATATTGTTTGGAAAATCCAACGTATTGCGTTTATAAGTGTTGTAGTATAACACTAGCCCATCCATCGTCTATTGTTTACCTACTGCGTCACTGGTACTGCTACGCTTTCGTGATCACTGTCAAAAAAAAAAATAGCACGCAGTTACAACAACAATAAAAAGTATAAACATTGGCTTTGTTTTGAATACAAACAATTTGTACTTTATTCAATATACAATTTTAAATTCCGAACAGAAAATACATTCATTTTAGTTGATACGTTAAAAGATGGGGAAAAAATCACACATTTTGTAGATTTAAATGAAAATTCGAGTAGAAAAAATATCAAATAAAAATGCAAAAATAATAATATATGTTGAACATAACCTCACTTTTACAATATGTATTCGACTGTTTTTGTCTATTTGCTTGATGGCAATTGCGCATTCGTGCGTTCACTCTAGGAAATGTTATGCTGTTCTTTATTCTCGTGAATCTAACGTGAATACAATGGGCAAATGTTTGACAAATAGTAATGGATGCTGCACAAATTCACATTCAATATAAACATGTTGTCATTCAAGGTTTGTTTATTTTTTTTTTTCTGTCATAGACTGGCAAATGTTGCCTATGTCCTAATTCTTATGACCTACTTTTTGAGCTTGGTTTGATTTACAGCGGAAAAAAAATGTTGAAAGAAACAAAATTATTCAAATTAAAATTTGTGCGTAATATTAAATGCGCAATGAATATACAAAAATTATTGAGATTGACATGATGAGAGCGAAAAAAAAAATGATTATCGATTTTTTAAAAAATCTCTATAAATAATTATTTGGTAGCCCTAATTCGTAAACTAGGGCTTTTTTATTTGATTTTTTGTTGTTGTTGTTGTTTGTATGATGTTTCACGAAACGATGAATGGAATTTAGATTTATTTGGCTTTAGCTGCCTTCTTAGCGGCGGTGACTGGTTTTTTAGCTGCAGCCTTCTTCGGTTTTGGTGCCTTTGGCTTCTTCGCTGCTGGTTTGCGCGCCTTCTTGATGCCTCCAGCTTTCTTGGCAACGGATGATTTGGCTTTGGCCGATTTCTTGGCAGCAGGCTTCTTAGCACTCGGTTTCTTCACAGCAGCCATCTCGATTTACGTTTTTAACTCGCTTTCTAACTCGCACTGGTTACAAATTTTCGAAAAAAAAAACACTTTGTTTACACAAATACTTCGAACAACATAGCAAGCAGCTGTTCATGGTACCTAAAATCGGAACGTTCCTTTCGGAACACACCGTCGACAAAATAATTGACTTTAAGCGTCTACTGTACGAAACTTGGTTTGATAATTCATATTTGAATGCAAATTTAATTTGGTAAATGTTAAAAAATTTCATCGTTTTTGGTTTTAAAATTTTGCAAATAACCAAATTTCTCAGACTCATTCGAATTTTTAAAAAATTCAATCTTTTACCAAGGTAAAATGCATTGAATTGCTCAAAAATTTGAGATTTCTTTGAAAATATTCTTTTGCAAATCAAATTAAATTATGAAAATTGAAAAAATTGCCAATAAATTGGGTCATAACATCAAGAGTAATTATTCATTTCAATTTTTCAAACGGGTTCCATGCGGAAAATTCAAGTTGCATCTATGTAAATTGCATTCGAATGCGTACGTAGAGCACACTGTATTTGTCGCGTATTAGGAAAAATGCACTACATTTCATTGGGCCGTTCACTTAATTTCAACAAGCTTTTTGCCATTCTTTTTTGCGTTTCAATCGAGCATTGGAAACATAGACATCATTTTGCATTTTTATCATTGATTTCCATGTGATTGATGCCATTTTTTCTTGCAAAGAAAATCAAATAGGAAAGGAATGATTTTTGCAGTGTTGCCGCGTTTGTTCACTGCTTTTGAAGTGGTAATGACCTCAATGCAATTACGTCAAATGCAATCATTATGTAATGCATTCAATAGAATTCTTAAAGTTTGATTTCATTCTCATGGACATTTTCAGAAAGGATATTCGATTTAGACTATTTGCGAATAGCTTTTTCTCAAACCAATTCTGGAATACATTTCTGGTTGGAATGTCGCCTCGGGATATTTTTGTTGTTTGTGAACAAATTAATTCGTATTTTATCCAACGAAAATGCTTTAAGAAATTAAAATAATAATTCAATTGGAATTTTGCTATTGAAATTATTTACCATCAACAAGATTAAAATGAAGTTCCAAATTGGACAAAGAATCTGATCATATTCATAAAATCTCTTTGTCCCGCAATACTTATCTTTATTTACGAATTCAATCGACAAATAGCGATTGTTTTCAATAAGTTACATGACTTTTCAGTTCATTTTCAATATGTTTCAACGGAAGATTTTGCCACAAAAATGCAAATCATTTGACAAAGCAAATATTCTTTGTACGTGCGTTTGTCCTGTTTCATAATCTTTGTAGTTGCGTAGAACAACGATTTGTTACCTATGTTTAATGTTATGCGCAAAACCCCATTCATTCAACACTCCGGAAAAATCCATGATCTCAGCACTTTGGAATCAATGATGCATGAATTAGAAAAATATAAAGAAAATAGCATTTAATTTGAATATCATTCATTTTTTGAAGAATTTTCGAGTCAATCAACGGTTTATCTACAATGCAGCTCCAACGAATTTTTGTCTTCGGTACATTCAATCCGAATAATGTTCTGTATCCAATTTTGTGCTATACTTGCATTATATACACTCTTCTTTGTTTTGTTGATGGCTTGTGTGTTGGGCATTTTGTTTACGTTCCCAAGTTGCACGTTGTTTCGACAGAGGGCGTGCTCGTATCTAGGTCACTCGTCACAAAGAGAAAGAGCAACAAGGAAATTGTTCGAAAATTTAAAGAATCTTATCTCTAGGCCAAATTAATAACTAGGCGGAACACGCTTTATAGTCAGTTATATGCGTTGATTCGGTCTATTTCGATTAGCGATGAATGCAATCGCATGTTTGGAATTCGATTTGGCAATTGTAATTACTTTCTTTGGGCGTGATGCTTTTTCGTGTGATTGGCTTTTGCAACAGCGACATCTCTTGAAATTTTGTTGAAATAATTCAGATTTTAACAATAACTAAAGAAAAAAAACACTTCACATGATGTGAAAAAGGAATCGAATACGATTTGTCGCAAAAAAAATATATTTTCATTCATCTCGTGAGAATCAAACGAAAAATTTATTAGAGATATGTCATGGTATAAATCGGAGGATCAATAAATTGACACATTTTCAATGCAACTTCTTGAAAAATCATAATTTACCAATTGCACATAGGCAATGGGAATTTTCCACAGCTGAGCATAAATGCGCATTATATTCGAACTCCAGGCCATTGATCAGATGAGCGAAGAATACAAAAAAAAAATATTACGCAATTTTTGTGTTCTTAACGTTTATAAACGGTTTACAAAGATATATTTTGATTTGTAACTTAGAATGAAGAAAGCAAAGTTTGTAATGCGTTTCATTGTTTTTTAGTTTCTTTCTTTTTTCTTCTCTTCTTTCCTTTTATAAAAATTGGTTTTATTGTGAAAAGTTACTTTTTTTTACTTTTTTTTTTTGAAAATTATGAACTTTCATTTGATGCTCATCAATTTTGCTTTAAAGAAAATAAACATGCAATATTTAATTTCAAACAAATGTCGGAACGTTCCCAAACGAGCCTACTTGCAGTTGAACTTTTTTTCTATGCTGATAACATGAACGGTTGTCCTAATCACTTCCATTAACGCGTTATGATAGATGAAAACAAAATTGTGTGGTTTATTTGAAAAACGAATAGAAAAAGTTGAAAAAATGCTCCATTTAAATTAATTGCAGCCTGTCGAAAATGTAGAACGAGTAAAACGTATTAATTGCAATTTGAATGTGATTGAGGTTGATTGAGGTCATTTCTACATAGTTATATGCGAACAATGAACGCCGTCCTATGATACTGAAATATTTATAATTTTATTAAAATTCAAAGGATCTGAATATATTCGACTGGAATAATTGAATAACAACTTAGAATACCAATCACAAAATTCCCATTGAGGAACAGAGTATAAAGAAACGCATAAACATTCTTTGTAAATATAAGAACTACCAACAGAGAAATGATACGATTTAAACAACTACGCCACAAATACAGTGTGCTTTACGTGTGTATTCAAATGCATTTTCCAGACATTTTTGCCGATAGTCTGGGTAAAAATTCGGTTTCATCTGAAAGTTTAATATTTTATCTTTGCAATGAATTCAAAATCAATCAAATATTTATCCATAAAAAAATGGAAATTTCATTTCAAAAAAATTATTTTCATGAAAATGTTGCGATTTTCGTCAATTCAATGAGTTTATTTGGTGTTTATGCAAACGGCAATGCGGAAAAGAAATCAAAATGCAAAAATTGGTCCTTTTCTCAAATTTGAGACGGAAACCGAGCAAATAATCGTTAATTTTCGGTCATGAATTTCATTTAGAAAGTTGATTGAAAAAATTATGTTTCATGTAGCTCAAGCTGAAAGTTATCGGTTTTCATCACAATGCATTCCGAAAGGAACGGTCCTTGTTGATGTACCAACGACAACTGCTAGGCGAATTACTTGAAAATCAAAAACAAAGTTTTTTTTTTCAAAGCATTTACGAAAGTTTAGTGAGGAAGAAAATCGAAATGGTCGAAACAGCATCAGTTCAAGTTGCCGCTGCACCAGCTCCGGCAAAGGTAAAGGCACCAAAAGCGAAGAGACCCGCATCAAAACCAACGCATCCACCAACCGCCACTTTGGTTACCGGTGCCATCAAAGCGTTGAAAGAACGTAGTGGATCATCGTTGCAGGCTATCAAGAAGTACATCGCCCAAAACGATAAGGTTGATGCCGATAAATTGTCACCATTTATCAAGAAGTACTTGAAGAAGGCAACGGCAAGCGGTAATTTGGTTCAAACCAAAGGAAAAGGCGCCAGCGGTTCGTTCAAATTGTCGGCTGCATCTTTGAAACCAAAGGTTGAAAAGAAGAAGAAGAAGCCTGTGGCGAAGAAAGCAGCTGGAGTCAAGAAAGCTGCTGGAGCGAAGAAAGTGGCCAAACCAAAAGCCAAGAAGACAGATAAGCCCAAGAAGAAGTTGGCTCCAAAGCAAAAATCGCTTAAACCATCAAAAGCGAAGCCAAAAGCACCCAAACCGAAGAAAGCGCAGGCCAAAAAACCAGTCACGGCCGCTAAAAAACCAGCACCAAAACCAGCAGCAAAGTAAATTCATCAGTTCATAAAAATAATTCTCATCCGATAATGGAAATACCAAAAAAAAGCCCTAATTTCAAATTAGGGCACCAAACGATAATTTATGAAGAATTTTTAAAAAAAATCACATTTTTTTTTTAATTTATTGATTTTCGTAAATTCTTTATAATAAAATATTTATTGGTCCTAAAAAGGACCGTTTTTTGTGTTGTTGTTTTTTTTTTTTATTCCAATTGCAAAAACTTTGTGGTGTTGGCTGGATTGGACGTGCTTAACCACCGAAACCGTAGAGTGTGCGACCTTGACGTTTCAATGCATACACAACATCCATAGCGGTGACAGTCTTTCGTTTTGCGTGCTCCGTGTAGGTGACAGCATCACGGATAACGTTTTCCAAGAAAACTTTTAGCACACCACGCGTCTCCTCGTAAATCAGCCCAGAAATACGCTTCACACCACCACGACGTGCCAAACGACGAATGGCCGGCTTGGTAATACCTTGGATGTTATCACGCAATACTTTACGATGACGTTTAGCGCCACCTTTTCCTAAACCTTTTCCCCCCTTTCCACGTCCAGTCATTTTTTCGCTAGTTGATTATGCTCCGTTTCACAGTGACAGCAGAAACAGTACTGATTCATAGCCGCAAATGTGCGCTCTATTTATACGTTTCGGTTGTGTAGCGCTCCCCACCACTTATTTCGCGACGCGTCACCTATTCCCCTTCAAGCGACGCTTGGCTGTGAAAATCAATGTTTATCAATAATTTAAACGATTTCTGAAGAGAAATTCAGATTTAATTCAAAATAAACGTCATTTTGATTAAATTGAACAATATTTTTACCTTGTTGTTTGCTTATTTTTCAAGAATATCGGCAAAAATGTGTGTAACAAACAATTCCCCTTCGATAAAAATTACGCATTTACACACAAATTGAAGAAAATCTAAAATTTTATGCAATTTTACGTGTTTAAATGAAATGCATTCGAAAAATGATTAAAAATTCAAACTAATCCCATTGCATTTGCTTGCAAAATGCAAATTTTTTATTGAATAAAACATAAAAATTGCAATTTTCACTTCGATGAATTGACAGATGCCATTCTCACGATATGTTCCGCAAGGATCTGTCTTATTTGATATACCAAATGAACACCAACACATATGCAATTCGTGTTATTTTCACCATTGTGTGAAAAATAGAATGTAAATGCCATAATCAAGTCGAACTGTGACTGCTTTATGAAGCAATTAGATCAATTACCTACCTATTATCTCTCACACATATGCCAACGCATTTCTCATTGTATTTCACACGAAAACGTGTTCAAAGCCTATATTCATGCAAATGAAATGATTAAGTTCCAATTGAAGGAATTCGGAATTCTTTATTTAAAACAACAGCTAACGTGTATATACAATGAAACATTGAGATAAATCATTTGGTTTGTACTTTGGTACGATAATAATTGATAATTGATGAATATATTAGTGTTCAAGGTGACGATTCACCGATTATTTTAATCTCTAGGTTCTGGATAATACTGTTTGATCAATTTGCTGAACTCGCTAGCAAGTTCCGGTGAACTAGCGGCTAGAACACGTCTCGACATCAAGTCCAATGGACCACCGGCTGGATCTATGACCACCCCACCTGCTTCGCGAACGATCAAATCACCTGCGGCAATGTCCCATGCATGGATGCCAAATTCGAAATTAACATCGGCACCACCGACCGCAACATAAGCCATGTTAAGCGCTGCCGATCCCAGTGCTCGGACTCTGTTGATGTTTCCAAGAGAGAAAAGAAACGTGATTGAATGAAGCAATTTGAGTTAGAAAGTGATTTAAAAGCAAATGAAATTAATACAAATTGAATTTATCAAATTCAAGAAATTCTACCCTAGCTTACCCGTGCGAAGTTTGTAAGATTTTCCGGAAATTCTCAAGCATGATATCCAATTTCTTTTCATCGCGACTGGTTCCAAACTCAGCCACCACCAACGCTTGTGACACTTCTTTCTTGTCCGACACATGCATTTGTTTGCCATTATAAAAGGCACCTTGTCCGCGTCGCGCAGTGAACAGTTGCTTCAGCACTGGATTGTAGATTATTGCAATCTCAGCTTGCTTCTTGACCAATAATGCGATTGAAATGCATGAATGCGGAAAACTGTGAACAAAATTCATCGTTCCATCAACTGGGTCAATGATCCATGTCGGGGCATCGGTCAATTCACATTTTGCACCTTCGCTTGTTGCTTCTTCACCAATAAAACTGTAAAACATGACAAAAAACACAACAACAAAAATTGCGATGAAAAACACACACACACACACACACACGCACAAAAACATTGCCAGAAAAGTTTGTTATTATTCAGCATTCTTACCGATGGTGTGGAAATTCGGCAGTTAAAGTATCGATAAGCAATTTTTCCACTTCCTGGTCAGTTTCGGTGACAAGGTCAATGTCACTCAACTTTTGTTGCACTTTTTTGCTCTTCCAAAATCGGCTTGCGATCAACTAGAATGTGAGAGTAAATATAGTTTTACGTTTAGTCATTAATTTAATTAAAACTGGTAATGAATAAAACAGCAATTCTAATTTACATCGCCGGCTTTTCGAACAACAGCTGACACAACATCGAAACATTTGTCCAAATTTTCCTCTGCTTCTGAACCCATTGTTGAATTGAAATTGGTTGAGATTGCTTGCGTTTGATTGTAATTCACCGAATGTCCTCTGCGGCAGATAGATAACCAGTACGATAGTGAATGATACTAATGTGAGTTAATGGAAATTTATCAAAATTTGTATTGATATGGTGAAAAAAAAATTCCACTGATAAATAGGCAGCAGTGCGATTGCGTCGTATTACAATCAATGTCAATCTGTCAAAACGAGTTTCTAGCGCTTTCGAATGCCAACATTGATTGAAATATGTTCGTCCAGTGATCAAGAGATGGCGCTGATTTTCGATTCTTCGAAGACGGAATATTTCAAAGGTAAATGAATTTTAATTAACCAAGGTCATGGTTGTTTACATTTAACTATTGTAATAAAAAAAATGTACAACATTTTCGACAACTTTTGAATCTTCTTAACCTTTTTTTAAACACCAGTTTTGTTATTCGAAAACTAGCTCAGCAAAGCGATCAAAAAAAAAAAAAATCACGAAAGATTGTCATCATTTATTCTATTTTTTTGTAGTATCTCATTCTCACTTCCCTATTTTTAACGCGATGTTGATAAAGTAGTTTGTGTGTGTGTGTGTGTGTGCGCGCGACACGGTTTCATGTGCATTATGCATGTTTGTTTTCGTGAGTTGTTTGGGCCTGTTTTTTTATGCTGCTTGTGTTTTTTCCTTCATATTGTTACATATACAAACACTTCTTCGTTGCTCCGACGTTCAGTTCGTCATCAAGAAGACACAGCAGCAAAAGATGTGCGGCTAAGAGGACAAACACATCATGCTATCGCATACACACGGAAAATGGGAACAAAGGGAGCGACACATGCGACGACGACGACGACGACGACGGCACGACAACTAACAAAATTGCGAACGGATGAGCAAATTTCGTGAGTGGAACGATATAGAAATTATGCTTTTTTCCAACATAAACACCAACACCAACAACAAAAAAGCTGCAAAGATAAGATCTCGTCTATATTAATGAGTCCTTAATTTTTGTACAATGTGTACGCTCTTTTGTGAGTTGGTTTTTGTGTGGATGCATTATGTTTCGTTTTATCTCGGGCGCGCATCATTTTTTGTGATGTACTTGTTTTATTCTCGTGTCTTTTTTCTAACTTTCTTCCTTCTTTTGTAACATTTTTAATTTTGCCTCATCATTTTTTTTTCTCGTATAGTTGTTTTATTGAGTATCTTTTTTGATGGGACATTCTACAATTTTACCGTTTCGTGGGCTCTTTTTCTTCAAAGTACGTATTTTATATTGCGTTTGACGTCTAAATCACTTTCTGCTTTGTACAAATGACTTTTTTTGTTTTTGAGCTCTTCGTCTGTTAGTGAGAGAGCGAATGTTTGTGTGTGAATTTTTCCTTTGTGTTTTTTTTTGTTGTTGCTTTTTGGTCTTGTCGCACACACACACGCACACACATCTGAACGGTTATGTTGCTTTCACAACTTTGTAGGATGGAATCGCTTGCATATGCCACATCTTCCCAAGAGAAACGGTCAATATGTTTATACGCTGTCTATCCGCCGAAAATACACTACAATATATATTCACGCTTATTGGACGCCGAATTCAATATATATTCTAGTGTATTTTCGGCGTATTCTTCAGCGTGAAACATATTGAAACATATTTAGGCGCCCTCTGATGGCCATGAATGCATTCATTGATTCAATATGTTTCACGCTGAAGAATACACCGAATATACACTAGAATATATATATTCAATTCGGCGTCCAATAAGCGTGAATATATATTGTAGTGTATTTTTGGCGGATAGACAGCGTATAAACAAATTGGCCGTTTCTCTTGGGTTAGAGCAGCATGCGTTCGCGAGCTGTTTTGCTGAAAACATCATGAATGATGTGACATCTGTGCTAAAGCTATTAGCATGTCTTTATTGTGTTGCGCCCGGAGTCCGAGTCAAAAAATGAAGGAAAATAAAGTACAAAGCGAGAAAAGCCGTTGCTTTTTGCACGTATTACAAATACGATTCTACTGAATGATTGCTACATCCTGCTTTTCTCACACAACGTTTACACTGAGTTCAATTTTGCAAGAATGAAACGATTAACTTGATTTCTTTTGCCGTACTTTTGGACCAGAGTCACCTTCAATTTTATCGAAATTTGATTCACATGCGAAGTTAAACCCATAACGTTTGTATAGAAAAATAAAAAGCATAATAAAGAATGTTCACGTGTTGTTTTGTGACCCAGTTTTTCCGTAGCTCATCCTTTTCGCATAAATGCCTCGACCACATTGCAACCACTGCGTGGAATAAATACTTCATAGCCTTGTTGATTTCATTCTTTTGAAAGATTTTCTCATGTTCTTAAACTGTGGGATTTTCATCGTAAAGACGTATCATAGTGATTATTTTCTCGCCATGTCTTCCCTCGCATTCATGCTGTGACATTCTCTCTTGGCGTTCGCTTTTTTCCTCGGTGCTTTCTTTGTTTACACTGACGTAAATACAAACATAAAATAATTACAGCATCATGATAGCGACAGTGTGTTGTTTACTTCAGGTAGTTTCTCCTTGAAGTTTGCACAAGATTTTCTTGAAACGCGTGGATACTGTGGAAGTAGTTGAGTATCAAATCTTTTGTGTGGGCCCCATTCATTTGTTTAGCTGGAGTAAAGTCACACCTTTCGCCGTTGAAGACTTAATCCTTTGCTTTTTTCAAAAATCATTTTAATAAGGGGAAGCAATGAAATGTTTCATTATTATTCACGTTGTATGACTCAAGTACCTATCAATTGAATCTTAAATGAAACATTTTGATTAGCAAAGATATTTAAAATAGCACACACACGCACTTGGTGGTGAAACAAAAAAGAAATCATATAATACAAAACCTGTTTCCACAAAAAAAAAAAGATCATATCATGCGGGGGATTTTTTCAGTCCGAATTTCTATGAATATTAATCGCATTCAAATGGGTGGATAATGAATTAAAAGTGTTCAAAACACACTTGCAGCAAAGATGATGCAGAGTAGAATATGCAACAGACCAAATATAATGAATTTTTACCCGAGATTTACCACCGCAACTAACGAATTCAGAAAGTTTTTTCAAAGGCTTGGCTACACTTTTTGTTGATGAAAAAGATTATGATTCAATTAACGAATTTCTTCTGCCATTTTCTTTCAGAGAAAATTTCAAGAGTGAGATTTACGTAACAAATAAGATTTCTTACTTTTCTATTGTTTTAAATTTGTAACTAAAATTTCTCTCTGTAAAATCGCAAGAAAAGTATTCATCTGCGAATGTTAAAAAAAACGAAGTAATTTATACATATGGCAAACAAAGCGGTGGCGTAGATAGAGTCAACTATTGTCTCATTAGAAATAACAAAACAAAGTGATAATATGATAAAATTGATGAATTAAGTTGTAACTGCCACTTTTTTGTTCTTTTTACCATTGTAAAGTGTTCTAATTGTGAGCATTTAGCTTATTGGACGGTTGATTTGATGAAGAAAAAAAAAAACGTTCGCAGAACGGAATTAATGATCAAAAAAGGATTGTGTTTGACTCCAGCAAACTATGATTGTGAGCGAAGAATTATGAATGAATGACGTCAAAAAAGATCTAAAAGAAACGACAAAAACACGAACGACGATAAGGTGCAACAAAAATCATAGGGAAGTCCTCATCATCTTGCCATTGGGAAGTGAAGTCAATGTGAATGCCAGTTGTTCAGAACATTATTCAACGAATGTTATCGCGAATAAAATAAAGTTAGACATACAAGTGTCTAGCAAAATTTCTAAACGTTGGAATCATGTCGTAAATTTTACATAGCAATGATACGTTCATACGTTCATTGACACCAAAAGAAAACTTCATTTAAAAAACGATGGACAATAAATTTTGATAACTATCGTTGTTCCCCTTCTTTTTTCCAACTTCGTTCATTTTTATCGTCAACTGTCTTGTTTGTTCATTAAACTTTATATTTTTGACATTTTACTTCCGTAATTTGGTGCGTTTTTTCGATTTTATTCTGCCTGTCGTACTAGATGAACGGAGAAAACTTTGTCGATTTTTTTAACGTTTTTTTTTTCATTTGTTCAACATTCAGTGCCTTGTGGAAGTTAAATATGGTTAGGAAACTTGTCAGTTTCACAGGACGATGGTTTTTGTGTGTGTATGTATGTGTGTGTGCATTGGCCTAATGTCGTTGGATGCATTCTTGCCTTTTGAATGTGACAAATATTCCACATCGATTATAAGAACTTTGACCAGAATGTTTTGTCGTGTGCTCGTCCTTCTTTCCGGTGGCTTCAACAAACTTCAATGTGATGTAACTTTCGCTCATGCTGATAACTACGTTTTGCCTTATAAATGCGATATTCGTTCAACAGCGCTCAGAAAACTCTGTGCACATGAAAGAAGAAGAAACTTATTGTCGGCTAGTCGGCTGCCAAAAGACGACTAAGAATATGGCTTGCATCTTTGCACTGCAACACGCATTTTACTCAATGTCATCGTCATGATTTGAAAACTTTATCGTTCGGCCAATGCTGTGCTAAAAGAAAATATTGATTTTCAAGCCATTTATTTTTCGGGGCCGAGGCGTATTTTGCCATTTGATTAATGTCACACTCCATTACACCCCATCACTTCTTTGCATCCGAAGCGGAACATTTATTTGATTTCAGTAAAAGTTATCGACGAAAACTTGGACCAGTGCAAAAAGTTGTATTTATCAAAAAAAAATTCAATTTCATTTTGAGTGCACGACGCAACAAAATTACGCAAAATTTATTCAAATAAACACAAACTGGTCAATGCATACACAGTAAATAAAGGCCAAAGTGCTTGACGGTATGTTTTTCAATTGGATAGATAACAGAGTGCCAGTTGCTCATCAGAATGGAACAATGTCGCAAAATTCACCGGAAATATCAACCCGAAAAGCCAATGCACACAAGACAAGACATAACAAAATTGCCAGTGTGAACATTATGTAACGAATCACGTTGAGAGTTTATTTTATATACAGCACCTCAAATAAGTATATATGCACCAAAGAGTGGAGGAAAGTCAAAGCCAAACATTTGCACACGAATGAAAATTATGAATGAACTAGTTCAATATTCGAAATAATTTTTATTTTAAACTTAAACAAACAGCTATACAAATTGAATTAATAATCAACGCATCAACAAGCCACACACAGAGAAGCGCAAACAAGACGCCGCTTCGAATAAACACAAATGTGCTGAACAGCAGAAAGAAAGACTTGATTTCAACGGTGACCGTAAAAACAAAGACGAAACTTGTTGATTATATATCGCGTCGACTATTTTAAGCACACACATATGACGTCACAGCGATACTGATATTACCTTCTGCTTTTTTTCTTCTTCTTCATTTAACATATTTTTTGTATAATACTTAGTTGCAAATACAGCGATTTGCTAGTCGGTTTTTTTTTTCAGTTATTGTTGTTGTTGAAAACGTATACCAAAGCAAACGACAATAAGAAACAAGACAAAGACATAACACCGCATTGAGTGTTAAAGCAAAATTCAGTGGCATCATTTTATGAATAGTAGTGAAAGCGATAAAAAAAATATGTCCTAGCTAACCACTCTACCTCGAAACCGATCACATATGATGATGATCAAGTATCGGTCAGTCGCAATTCGGCGTTCAACGTGAAAACTAGTTTCAATTCTTATTTCGATCGCGTCAATCGAATCGATATACAGTCAAGTAGTCAAGTTGTTGCAAAATTTAATGCTGGAATTGCGTTTGATTTTTGTGAAACATTCAGTTTTAATTCAACTTTGCATTTTCGAGCAAAAGTTTTGAAAAAAGTTCGAGTTATATATAATTCACAAGGTCAATTTTGAAGTGTTAATTATTAACGAACGACATTCGTACTGCAAATTCTGCACGTCTTCTGCACAAAACGACGATCACAAAAGCCAATAAGTCCGACAGAATGTATCACAGTATCTGAACGAAACTTCGCAATAGAAAATCGAAACAAGTTTTTGATTAAACACTGTCTGTGCCTATATTCAAACCTGCCTGAAAATGTCGATACCAATTAGTTCCTAGAGATTGAATTCGTTGCTTGCGTTGGCGATATGCAGAATTGACACTGATAGACGACAAGCGGTTGATAGAAAACGAACTTTGTGACATTTAGCTAATTATATAGTAATATTTAAGTTTCAATGGCCGAAACCAATTGGAATATCTTAGCGATAGCATTGATTCTATCAATATGTACCGTATGGCCAGCAGTGGGCAAGGGTTTTGATGCCAATGGCGAGAAGGATAATGGAAAAAGTAAGTAAAAACGAAATTCCACATTACAAATAAACTACCTCGATAAATAACTATTGATCTGAATTGAGTGCGAATTAATAAGTTGCGTTTCATTCTACGCGCTTGTTAACAATATCACCGAAAACGACCTTATACTTTTAATGTGCGATGTATAGCAACGTAACAGGTAATTCCCGCCATTTTTTTCTCTCTCATTGCTGTCATTCGAATGCACCGACGACAACGACAACGACGATGCTATCATTCAAGCCAGTCAAATGGGCTTAATCAGTTTCTCCGCTGAAACGTCACTGCCATGGGCATACGCCTAAATATTAAAGTTTAGGCATTCGTTTGTTGTTGTTAATGTCATATGCATGCATGCTGTAGATCACATAGACTCGTTGATACTTTTTTTTTCTTCGTCGTCGTAAAATACATGGCTTTGTTAGCGTTCATTCTCTTTTGAACCCCTTCTCTTTGATTTCGATTTCATTTGCGTGATCGGCGTCTAGTGCACTGAGGAGAGAGAAAAATGTAGTTTTTGTGTGTATGCACATTTTGGCTGATTCATCGCTTTTTTTTTATCGACAATTTCGTGATTAACACTTTTATTTACAAAAAACAAACGCAAAAGCGGAATGTTCAAATCAGCATGAAATATTATTGCTTTTTTTAGTCTCACATTCAAAACCGACGGCCAAACATTGATTAATCGCAATAATAATTCCAGTCTTCTTGGAACCAGTTCCGCTAATCAATGTCCACCGCAGATAATCTCTGTTAATGTATTCAGATTAACATCTCAAATGATCCACTGACCAATTTTTTGTTTATTCCAACAACCTGATTCGCACTTGAAAATTGTTGAAGGCAATTAGTTTATATTCTTGTGCGCTTCAAATAAACTTAACAAAATGAAATTCATCGTGCGGAATCATTTTCAACGTGATGATAATAATCGTTATAACAATTTGACAGTTCAAAGTCTTTAGCTGCCAATGTATAAAATGTCATAGCTACAGCATCAGATGGTCATCATATGTTTGAAATAACCAGTAGACCGTAAAGTTGCCAGTATGAATATATATTTCATTATTGTTTGAGTTCGTATATTGCGTCAGTTTTTTTCTCTCTCTTCATTTGATAAGTGGTTTCGAGTCGATTCGGAGAAAGACCACTGGGAAATACCAACCTCTTTCTTTGAATCATTTTCGAGATTTTATATATGAATGTATTTTGGAATTACCTTAGAATGAAATGCAAAACGTGAGCGCAAGTAAAATTTCAACGTATCACGAAGTCACTGGGTAGAATTTAATGTTCATGATGCAGTTCAGCAATGAATAAACATCGTGTTAAATGAAATTTTGTCGGCAAAATAATTAGCTAATTAAATGTTGACGATGGAGTGCTGTTGCTCGGTTTGCATCAACTACCCACAGAAATTCAATGACCTCTTGATGCTAAATTAATTTGCTTGCATCTTCATTAGATTTATTAACACAACGATGATTTCATTTTATGTGATATTCCAACCAAATTTAACTGCATTTCTCTCCCGTCTCACTCTCTCTCTCTCCATCTCTCTCCTACGCTGTCTATTCCCGTTATGTGTTTATCTGCAGTACGTGTATGTTTCGTGGAAGCGCGTGGCACTTATAAAAAAGCAACGAAAAATTGCCCCATTCTAGCAGCAAAGTCGAACATCGAATGCGTCATTGGAACGGATCGAATGGATTGTATGCGTCGCATTAACAAAGGAACTGCACATTTTGGTGTATTTTCGCCCGAAGATTTGATAGCTGCCAAATGGGCTGGATCGGATGTGCTCATTACGAGTGAATTACGTTTCAATGACGGTAAAATTACCCACTTGAATCCATAACAAAAAAAAATAAACACACAAAACCAAAGTCATTCATTTTATTCGCAAAATGCTTAGATCCATTTCAGTTTGAAGTCGTGGCAGTTGTGGCGAACGATGCGCATATAAATGTAATAATGCAAACGTCTGAGGTCTTCGGTAGTCGAATATAAACTAAAATTTATTCATTCTTGACAGACCATCCACGATTTGCGCGGTGCTCGTTTTTGTCATCCAGGCCATGGCTTGAATCGTCATTGGACTGAAGTTATGGCAAATGTATGTATTCACAAATGCATAATGCCACAAAAGCACGCTTTAGCTTCCTTTTGCAAGAACTAAACGAACAAAATTTTCCCTCAATTTCATTCAATTCCGTTGTTAGTATCTTGAATCGACTATGGTGGCGCGTGAATGTGAAGAAGATCTGTCTCCACTCGAATCAAAGATTAAAGCATCATCGCGATTCTTTGGGCCGTCATGCAAGCCAGGTCCATGGGTAACTATCTATTGTAAATTCATAGCACAAGTTGGAAATTTCACACAAGTCTCTTTTCCAGGTGCCAGATCCACTTCAAGATGCAGTTTTGAGTAAATTTGGAAATTCAACCGTACATAATTTCGCAATCAAACTAAACATTGCTCTACTTTTTAATCCACACAGAAAAACGTTATCCATCGTTGTGTGATGCCTGTTATAATCCGGGCACATGTAGCAAATCCGATAAATATTGGGGAAGAATTGGACCGTTGAATTGTTTAACGAGTGGCGATGGGCAAGTGGCATGGGTTCGATTGGATGATGTTCGGATGCATTTTGGTGTAAGTTTGCCTTGATTTTGGGTCCAATGCTGTTGGATTCGAAGAAGAAATCTCACGAATATATGCTGATCTATTGTTTTTGCATTATGTTTATTCTCAGATGACGGGTTTAACTGCCGAAGCCGATCCAAGTTTATACAGTTATTTGTGTCTCGATGGTCATTTGCAGCCGCTAACCAATCCAACACCGTGCGTATGGACGGCTGAGCCGTGGCCCGCCGTTGCAGCCAAACGAGAATATGCACCAATCGTACAATTACTGCTAGAGCATCTCGATCATAACGACGAAACCAGTTGGCAAAATGCGCTGCTCAACATTTTAGAGACATATCATGTGAATATTAAACAATTAGACAACACGATTCCCATATCGGACTATCTGGATCAGGCGGTGGGTTTTACGAGTGCATACAGTTTTCCATCGTGTAATCCGCCGCGAGCAATCGTCTATTGTACAACTTCGTTGTTAGAGCACTCGAAATGTTCGTGGTTGCAAGAGGTGGCCAATGTTTATGGCATCGAACCGAGTTTGCAATGCATTCGTGAAATGAGTTTGGATCGTTGCATGGAAAATGTTGAGCATCGTGCATCGGATGTCGTATTTGTTGGCGAAAGTGAACGCATACGCGCCGAACGATTGCACCATTTGAAGCCGATTTTGTATGAATTTGCCAAGCAGAAAATCGATCGTTACACCGTGGTGGCGGTGGTTAAAATTAATTCGGAAATTTACAATTTCAGCGACTTAAACAATAAGCGAGCTTGTTTCCCGAGCTTCGAAGGATCGGCGTACTTTTCCGTGTTGGAAACAATTCGGCATATGCGCGGTGTTACCAAGGAAGATAACGAATCATATTCGCCGAACGAATTAAGTGATTTCTTTTCAGAGAATTCATGTACATGGGCACCGAACTCATCGCAATGCAAAGCCGAGTATATGGGTGACGAAGGCGCTCTCAGATGTCTAACCGACAATCGAGGCGATGTAGCTTTCGTTGATATGGCCATTTTTCAACAATATATTGGATTGACAGCTGCCGTCAATGGCACAAAACAATCAATCAACACGACGCTTGACTACAAATTGATTTGTCCGTTCGGAAGGAATGCAAAACCAGACGAATACTGTTATCTACACTGGGCCAGCCGTGGCTACATAATGATCAGTAATCAAACAAAAACTTTGCGACAAAACGAAATTTATAATACGCTACGTGATATGGATCGATTGTTTGGCAAATACTACGAGAGCCACATATTACCATTCTCCATGTATGGACCATTCGATCGAAAAAATGATGTAATGTTCCACGACCGGACCGAAGCGCTACGAAGCATTGTTGAAATGGAAAAAGACCGAACGCCACGTTTTCTCGACGAAACCATTCGTCAATACATGACCGTCGACCAACAGCGATTAAAAGACACTCAAAACTCAACCACAATTCACCGATTAGATTTAATGTATTTGTTTATAGCCATTTTTATGCTGGTTCATTATTTTTAAGATATCCCCTCTCTGTACTAGTTGTATATTTAAAGCAGCGAAAATGATTTGAAATTTAAAGAGAGAAAAAAAAACTCCTCTGATTTTTATTATATGACATTCACAAAAAAAAGGTGAATTAAAGCGTTTGTGATAAAGAGCACGGTAAATACCGTTTATCTTAATGGGATGTTTTATATTAAGACAGGGAGTACAGCAGCAACAACAACAACCATAAAGCTAATTAAATCATGAAATTCCGTTTTACACTTTACGCTGTGTTTACTTCTCAAATCACTTGCAGTGAGGCACACTGAAGAGCAATGATTCACATCGCTAGTCAAAGATTAAATCTTCTATCAAGAACCATTTGAAATTGTCTTCGAAACACTTATACACATCTCTCATTCTCTTTCACGAACATCGATGATGATTCCGAAAGTCGTTTGTGTCGACAACAGCATTTCAAGTCTTTATTTCTGTCCAACTGAGCAACAAATCGTTTGACTCATATTCAGACGCTTGAAGCAACCGCTACTTGTGTTTTCTCCATTCTATTTTCTTTTTCTTCTTTTTCATTTCTTCTATTTGATTTCATCATGCTGCCATTTTCCGAGAGAGAGAGAGAGAGAGAGAGAAACTTAATCGAAAGTACTCATGTCGATTTGATAAATGAGCCGAACAAAGGATGAAAGATGCAAAGCTCTCCATGACAGAATGTGGTCGTCTAATTTAAAAAGTTTTATAACCAAACACACTGTGCTCTCTCAAGGGTATCTCACACATTCTCTGTCAAAACATACTCATTTAGAGGAGACGAAGAAGAAGAGAGAAATGCGTTAAACCGCGCACAAGATAAATATTAGAAATTTGATGGCATCTTTGTCTATCCAATAGTTTTCGTGTTCTCACTCTCTTTCAATATGCGCCAGAAAAGGACACAGTGCAAAGTTAAAAAGAAATGGATTTTGTGCCATTGTAAGTTTCTCAACTTTTGTTCGGTGCACACACACACACACAGAGAGAGAGAGAGACAGTCCCGCATTATATTCGCCCTCATTTGTTCACGGTTGATAGAAAACAAAAACGGAATCGGAATCCGAATTCAGCTTATTTGGTAACCTACAAACACCTTCTATTATGTGGCACTCATCGACTCAAACTTTATCCCAATATGTTTTTTTGCTGATTTAAAGCAATCGATAAAACGGAGCAGCAACAACAAAAAACATTCGACTGGAAATAAATGAAAATCCTTCCTTCGAACGAACACACACACACACATACAGCTCGACATTCGTACCGACCCGAAATTCACGTTTGCACAAGAAGCATAAATAGCACATAGAAAACGCACACGTCAAATGAAATCGAAGAGTTTTACTTATTAAATTTAATTATTAGGTGTGGAGTTTTTTTTCTCTCTCAGTTCGCATTGAATTGTGTATGTGTGCGTTGGCTGCTTTCACTGTTTGTTTGGCTATTTAGGGATTCGGTGGCGTTTGCCATTTTATTTTGAAGAATGTTCAAAACCAAACTTTGGCAATCAATTGCAAAGTTTATACTGCAGGCATCTGGATCGAATCGTTTTATGTGATTCCATGTGGATTTGTGGCCAAAGACCAACTTGAAGGGGGGGTTGAAAGTAACTTTTGACTCAGCAGTTCAGCGATTCTAAACTTCGGGTGTGCTCCACTTTCAATTGAAATAACGTGCGAATATCGTGAGTTGTGTCAATCGGTGTAGGTAAAGAATGTATCGGTTGCAGATATCCAAATAGCATTCAATTGTTTTTTTTTTTTAAATCATGGGTCGACGTCATTTTGTCTGCAAGTGCAAAAAAAAATCATTTAAATTTAAAAATACCGCATTCTGTGTATAATAATACTGTCATAACTCTTTCATGTTTATCACCTGCAGAGTAATTCATAGTGAATGACGTATACTTTTTCGGAGCAACTGATTTTTCGCCCAACAACAACAAATGTTACATTGTCAATCTATTGATCCGCACTGCTTTAATATGGAATAAATGTAAATACCTTCAAATACGGTGAAAGGAATGTGATTGAAAAAAAAGCTCCAGTCAAATGATGTTAGCTGAACACAAGTTTATTAATTTTTCGAAATGCAATATATCAACGGTAGTTCTTTGTTATGGTGTGCCATGAGCTTACGATGTGTTTGACATTTTATTATTATTGCTCTTATCAGAAAACGGCTATATCTGGTTTCATTGATTATGACAATATATTGCCGAAGCTAAAATGATGTGCGATCGGGGTGTCACTGTCATTTTTTGAACATGGCATATGTAAATAAAGGCAGTGTGTGCGAGAGTACGACACAGCACCGCGTAACTTATGGAATTCCAATCGTAATAAAATTAACATGGCCATTGAGAGAAGAGCGACTGAACAGCCGAAATTCGCATAAATCACAACATCAACAGTGCAAAGCAAAACCGAAACCAAGTCAAAAACAAAGCAACAACAACAACATGTAGTATATATATCCAATACAATGTGCGGTCATAGCGACAGAGCGATGTCTACCGGAGCAGCAGCATTGAACATGAGCAAGTGCATTTCTATCTGTTATTTATGTTGGCCATAAATAAAATGCGACAGTTAAACTTTATATTGGCAACTCGGTTTCGATTTTGTTTCATCCTCCATTGAGATTGGATTTCGTGTATGTGTGTGTATGAGCCAATGTTTGCGTTTGTGTGAATTGAACTTTTTTACATTTGGCGTTGTTGTGTCTCTCTTCTTTTTTTTTTATTGTTGCTTTGTGTGCGTACATGTTCCACGTGAAATACTCCAAAAATTGATAGTACATCTGCATTAATTTTTATCATTTTACTTGTTTTTTGTTTGGTTGTTCGGTTTTGCTACTGCTCACACCTCACAGTGTAACTGTAGACACGGGTACACTGCAGCCTTGAGCGTCTCCTGACTCTCGCCGATCGAACGTGAATAATTTGTTTTTCTCCTTTTTTTCGCTGTTTGCCAATGTGTGTGTAAATCTTTCACCACGAACATTCAGTCGACATTTTGCACCCGAAAATAATTCAATGCAAAAAAAAAAAAAAACAAAACGAACTCAAGCAAAAACCAATTTCGCACAAATACAATGCAGACAAAAATTTTCAGCAACGTGCGTTTCAATTCATGTTTAGAGCTCCGACACAATTTATTTCGTGTGTTGGGATAGAACAGTGTAGTGCATTCCAAACATGCTTTGTTGCCATTTGACTGGATTTTCAATGTTAAAATACCGAAAATACTTTATGAAAAATAACGAATTTTCCTGCGAATATTTTCAACGAATCGACTCCGAATATGCATTAAATTATGGCTTAAATATGGGGAATAGAGGAAACAATAACGGCGGATGTTTTATTTCAATTTCACGTTCTTTTTTTATTCTGTCTATTTGCACAATCCCTTTATTACATTTTCCAAATGACCACCTGGCCAAGTGCTCCATCGTTGAGCACAGAACTCTGTGAGTTGAACTCAATAGTAGTATCAAGTTCTTTTTTTTTCCAATGGCGGTTCATGTGAAGGAAATAGAAAGTTCATGTTTTTGCTCGGATATATGAGTACAAATTGTGTATGTGAATGATATAAATCACGTAGAAGTATAACAAATCATTAGCTACTAAATTATTATTAACCTTAAACATATCGAAGAAATTGAATATATGCTGTTTATGTGACAAGAACACCTCAATAAATCCGGAGCAATAGCCGTCCTTACTAGCAAAATACTACGTTTTCGAGCACTTGGTTCCACGGCTGCTCCATTTACGTATAAATAGACTTTCAAGTGAAATTCCATTCGACATTTTTGTCCTGCGAATAATAAAAAAACACTATTCCAAAAATATTTCTACCGTTTGCGAGCTCATTTGAAAATGGCTGGAATCTAGAAATGCAGTAGTTCATTTGTTTGAGACTTTTTGATCGAAAACGTTGCGACGCATCGCGTGAATGAAAAAGCATATAAAGTTGCTTCTTGAACGTTTCACTTCTGTCGAGATACAGAGAAAGAGAAAGGGGGGGAGAACGTAAAAGTGATTAATTTAGTTGGTCATTCAACGGTTAATGAAATCCAAAACTCTTGTTTCCGTAAAAATGCTCTCAATCGTATCGAAGCCATTTTTCGCCAGTCAGTCAAAAACTTTCTCTTCATTCAGAGCGAAAATTCATGCGAGAGAAAGGAAGAAAGAAAGAAAGAGAGGGAGAAAGTTTGACACGCCGTTTCCCAGAGAGTGTGTTGCTTCAGGAAATAATGCATTTGAGTGTGTTTGCAAAGAAGAAAAATTGATAGACATTTGTCCAATGCGCTCAAAGACACGGCTTGCGCGCACTTTCAACACAACAGCGTTGAGTGCGTGCTCGAATGAGAGCGAAAATCCAAACTAAATCACGATATAAATTGACTAACATTTATTTGCATTGATAAATAGTTTCGAAAGCCATTTACGTCGAAGAACTATTCCGTGTTCCGAATGACACTTGTCGTTTTTCTCTCTCACTCTCTTATATTCCGACAATAAACTTCGTCCACCCACACACACACACACACACACACACACACACATTTACATCGCAGCGACAGCGCTGGCTGAAGAGAAATCCATCCACCTTGCAAACGCTTCAACATTTTCGACTGAATGTCATCTCGTGTTAAGGAACCGTTATGCTTCGTTGATGTTCGCTAGCTCAAGTGTTTTGCAGTCGATTATTGTGATGACATGATATTTGGCTTACATCAAATGAATTATCATCGAAAACTTTTCAAATGACTTTTTCGACAGCGAACTAATCTAGGTATTAATGGAGCTCTTTTCACCGAAAATGTAAGAACCAATTTTGCAGCAGGTAAAAGCTTTTAGAAAATGAATGAAATTTTCTTTAAATTCGACAGATACTCAAAAAAAAAAAATGGAGAGCAAAATTAATTTATGGCGATTTTTCTGTTGAATTATTCAAACTATGAGCTGATTTTTTGAAACCACCTTTTTCTCATTTGGTCTGGTTTTATTCTCGTTCTTAACACTATCAATTGATATGACAGGTGAATGAAACAAAATGACATTTGAAAGCATCAATACCAAATTTATATAAGAATATTGTCGCTTAAGGGAAGAAAACCAGCGGAGAAACACTCTTTAAAAAATGAGACCACATAATGGAACTTCGTGCCTGAATTTTCCACATTTTCATAATTTATTTATTGAACATCTATAAGCATCTCGAAT